CCTTTACCTAACACAGAGGGCACGAGCCCTGCCACCTGCAACCCAGGCTGCTGAGGTGAGGCTGACGGGGAGAGGGACTGATAAGAGATGGACAGCGTTGTGGCACTGACGTTGGGGATTAGTCAAAGTATGAGTTCAGTGAATGAGAAGATGTTTAATTTCTTGCTCAGCGGTTGGCGTGGAGCAGGATGGGTACGTAGCTTCTCTGTAGATGTTACAGGTTGAAACAAAGGCATAAAAAAAGATGTTTGTACTTCACTTCATGCATAAAGTGGTGATGGGAGGTTCCCCAGCATGCGGCAGAAATGTTTCATTTCCGGGTTGAACAAAAAGAGGAAGACTAGATTCTGATCAGCAAACTATTTCACAAGTCATGAGAGGAAACAAAGCTGAAACAATCAACAAGATTCATGTCAGACATAATAACTACTCATTCATTGTCACAAAGCAAAATCCTCTTTTGTGACTGCATGTCAATTTTATATCCTGAGGGTAGACACACACACACACACACACACACACACACACACACACACACACACACACACACACACACACACACACACACACACACACACACCAGCAGCAGGGTGTGTGCAGTTAGAATTATGAAAGAAAGAGAGAGAGAGATCATCTCATGCAAACCACCTGACAAACAACAGGACAAATCACACTGCAGGATGCAAACTAAGTAAATATAATAGACACAAACTAAAGTCTAAACCGTGAAACATGGATCATACCACAGGAGGGGCCCGTTTTTCTTGCTCTGTTCTGCTGTTGTTGTCACTGTGCATTATTATCATTTTGTGGTAAATAAAACAAACATGCAACCCGTCCATACAGGTAAACTCAACTCAAATTTATCTTTTCATTTATCCACCTTGCTTGGTTTTTATTGTTTCCTCTGTACAGCATTTAGTTACAAGCACAGCAAAAGTGCTACATTTATTACCCACCTGTTTAAAGTAATCTTTATTCTTTATATCCATGTTATACTGGTCGCTCGGTGTCACTGGTTATACTGGGAGTTGTTCGTCACCACAAAGAGAAGTGACTTAGTGGGCTAAGCTGTCATAATCATCGGTCAATCTTTACTCAGCAAAAATCCTTTAATCCACTCAAATAAATCAATATTCAGAGACAATCCGGCGATAAATGAGCATGCGCGGGTTTAAAGGGCTCCTCTGACAAGAACACCTGGCCAGGTGCTGATCTTGAGCAACTCACATTGATTTCTACTCAACTTAAAACTGTCTTTTCTCCTCACTCAACTCTTTTTTCCTCTCCCACCTGCCGTAGACACAGTTAACAACCACTCAGCTCTAACTCTACCTGTATAAAAACAAATGAGAAACACACCTGGTTTTCAGCTGCAGGCACTGTAGGTGAGCTCGGTTCGTCTTCTCGTGTCGGTGTACAGCAGCGAGGTCCTGCTCGACGGCACTTCGTTCACAACCTGCTGAGGAAGAGGAAATAAAAAAAAAAGCCTCGTCTCGGATCTTCAGCCTCGTCTCTCTGCTCTGTCATGCGGGCCAGCTGCGTGGCTCTGCGGGGATGGACGGTCTGCACCTTTAATCCGCCCAGTTTTAGTTTTCGCAGGTAAGTCAAACGCCCCGCCCCTCCCCTCCCCTCCCCCGCGCTCGATGCTGCGTTCAAGAGCTCCACGTAAAAAACAGTCCCTGTCCCTGGAGGCGTACCTGAATCAAACATAAGTCCCTTAAGACACCAGTAGTTGTTTTATAAGCTCACACGCTCCTGTAAAAGTCAAATGGTCACAAGACAGAGCATAACAACATTTGTGATAAGTGTTTCTATTAATTTATGTGGATTAAGATTCATTTCTGCAATAGAGAAACTGTTGACATTTTGAGTATTAAACAGGAAATAATCTCATCTCTTTATCAGATGTATCTTGTTGTGTACTGAAGGCAGCAGGGGTCATTATGTAGCCAAGACCAGGCTTAATATTACATTACCTTAACAGTGATGGTGAGGAAGCCAATTAAAGCAACATACAGACTGTCAATAATAATAATACATAGTATAACAAATTACATGAATTATTAAAAGTGAAACAACTGGTCTATTATTGATTAATCAGAATTTATCAGCTCAAGAGGACAAACTTCACCTTCACTTACAATGACTCATATACAGAGGGAGTAAAGTGTTGTATTAGAGGAGCATAGTCAGATAATGTATGTGTGTGTGTGTGTGTGTGTGTGTGTGTGTGTGTGTGTGTGTGTAGGAATGCAGAGCCTAGTTGGTACCTGCAACAGGAGCAGGGGTGTGGCACTGCTGATGTGTCCAAGGTGGAAATATGACACAAAACACATAACTGTCTGTGGAGAGATTAAAGTAATATAAACCAATATGTGTGACTCCCACACAGTCCTACAGTGTGTTCATATATTGATTAGTTAATGGGTTTAGTAACAGATTAATGTGTGTGTGTGTAAATAGAGTGCAGTAATTGTCTCCCACATGATGTCTTAAAGTCTAACTTATCTAACTCTTTACTTAACAACAAAAACTTTAAATGAATTTTTAAAAAAGAGAAACAGTCTTAGTGTATCAACCACAACACATCCCAAACAAGAGGAAGTGTCTACCTGCACTTTGTCTCCCATCCACCAATGAGCTTTTGGTTTAATTTCCTACCATATATGGTCAGAGAGAGGAGACAGAGAAAGACAAAGATTTCCAGAAAAAGAGAAGGCCTCAGAGAAGAGAGGTGGAGGGAGGAGGCGTGGTGTATGGTTTTTTTGCTGCGGTGTAAAGTTTCTTTTCAAAAACCCGGTCATTACCCCGAGCCCAGGTCCTCCTGTTGTTTTCAAATCTGTCACACATCAAAGATGAGCTGATAGAAACGTAGGGGCAGCATGTCACAGCATGAATGAAAGAGAGCGAGGACACACACACTGTGAGGATTATAAACTGTGTACATACACTTTGTTGTATGACTGATGTACACTGCAGGCAATACACATAAAGCTATAATACACAATACTTTAGATTTATTGAATCCTTGTTCTGATGTGGTTTTATTGTATCAAAGGTATCAGATCAGGTGACATGTTGGTAACAAACAAGCTTATTAGACACAACCCTCAAAGAATAGCTTCACGTTGAAAGCATCTCAGTCACTTTAACTGTTCTTACTGTATGAACTTGCTGCAAGACGTTCCCTCGTTAAAGACATTAAAAAATAATGTGAAAAGTTAAGACAAATCAAGCAGGTATTTTCCAAAGTTACAGTCTATTTAGTATTAAATTCCCACTTTGTGTTTCTGTTCCTCTGCCACAAAGATACTTAATAAGGAAACACTGAACAGAATGAGGACTCATCACATCGCATCACTCACTGAAACTGCTTTATAGAGAGATCTTTCTGTCCCTCTGTACACTGTCAATGTGTCAACTGTTCAATGTACATATGAGCATGTGAGTTATAGATAAAAATGTGAAGCTTTCTGTTAACAGTTCATTTTTCAGCCTCCGTCCATCCTGCTTTACATACAAAATCTCTATAAAGCTTAACTTGGCTTCTGTTCAACCACGTTTGGTACAACTATCTCTCCTTTATCTTTGCATAAGTACCAGTACACATACAATATACTGAATATGACAGTTTATCTGCCTCTTTGATTCTATAAAAATGATACTAAATTAACCTCAGCTGAACAGTCAACTCAGAAGACTATTTATACTATACCAGCTATTTTACACATTATTGTTTATATTTCAGCTGTAACCTGTGTGTGTTTTGTATTGTGGTGTTTTAATGTGCATACTGTGAAAACAAATTTTGCCTTCGAGGGTGGTGGAGTGTCCGATTGTGTTTTTTTTTACCCAGCTGTCATACGGTTAGCTCATTTTTACAGCCACAGGGCACAGTCTGTTGTTACACCACTGCACATATAACTCAGCTTCCTGCCGCTCGCTTCAGGACAGGGAAACTGTCTCACACACACCTCATAATGGCCTCCGTGTACGATGATCATAATTATACATTTATTTTTTTCTGCATAATACACATGCCAACAATGTAGATACAATGACACTCCCCAAACCAGAAAAGAAGTGTTTCAAGTTAGTTAACAGGATTAAAATATGCATCATCTGTTGTTGTGTAAGATTTCAAGTAAAGAGCAAAAGCAGAGTCATGTCCAGTCATGTCATGTCATGCAGGTAATTGTGGTGAATTTCACTGTGGGGGAAAGTGCAACTGGGACTGTTGTCAGAGGAGGTCTGCATGGAAGTTTATTCTGACATGTTTGAGCACATAAGCCTGCCCGTGTTTGGTGGAACGAGGACAGATTTAACAACAGTGTCATTAAGAGATATTTTAGATAAATGAGAGAGGCAGAAGGTCAGTGAATTACACTCAAACACAACCTCACTCACTAACTCCACCGATCACCTGCTGCCCCGCTCAAATACCTCCAGGATTATTTTAAACAGAAGTTTGGAAATGTCAGATTTAAAACGGGTTGTTATGGAGGGATTTGTCATTTCTCACACACTCTGCTTCCTCGTGTGGTTCAACCCTCGGCTTACACTGATGAAGAGTGCACCCCGCTGTGGACAAACCTGGCAATTACTAGCTGAAGCGTGTGCACATTCAGAACATGTCCGCCAACCATTTGTATGTGTGGAAAACAAAAATATGAAATTAAACTTGAGAAAAGTGAATATAGTTTGAAATGAGGGGCACATGAAGCTCAGAGGAGTACAACTGGGCCTGTAGTTGTCTTCTGAGGCTCTGGTTGAGCTCCTCAAATATCTGTTTGGGTTTCAGAGCCTGAATTAAACACTTGGAGGTGTGTTTAAAAGAAGTGGAGGAGGTTAAATTTGTCATGGAGGTCAACTGGCTGTGTGTGTGTGTGTGTGTGTGTGTGTGTGTGTGTGTGTGTGAATGAGTGTCAGCTATTTGAAATCTTTGTTTTTTTTAAACCCAACACACTGCTGGAAAAGAAAACATGCCACCATGACGCTTCCTTTTTTTAATGAGTTTTTATTTATTTATTTATTTGATTTTTAAGTGTTTTATTATTTTTTTTCTCCAAAAAAATCCTGAGGTATTCACAATATAATGGCATTTATTCTGTTTGAAATGAGACTCGGGGGAGGGGGAGGGGGGAGGGGGGGATAAAATACAGCCAAAAACAAAACAAAAACAAACAAACACAAAAAATAAAATAAAGAAACAGGCAGTAAAGCTGTGTCGATTGATACAACTGTCAAGACAATAAATCCATGGCGTCGTACATACAGGAAGCCTCTGAACTGCAACAGCAGTGACTGAAGTCAATCCTCCCCCCACCCGGCAAACTAGATAAGTCATGCAATCTAGACTTAGAACTGGATTCTGAAAAACCAAGCAACAAACCTCAATGATATTTCAAAGCAGGCGTGTCCCACCTCGCTAACAGGGAGTGCAGGTTAATAACAAGCCAATCAGTCCACTATCATAGTAGTTATCATCAGTTGAAATACCTAAACCTTAAAAACAAAAACATCTAGTCTGCTTTGTAGCTGACATTCAGTACTTACTGATAAAAACCATCCAAGTTTCAAACAATACAAGCTTTAACTGTGAGTTATTAGCAAAGCACTAGAGTTCAAATACACCATGCTGTGGCTACTCAGCTTTAACCCATGAGCAGTTTGTTTGTTGGGGCCTTCTGAGAGGGTAAACAGTAAACAAAATAATGGATGTCAGTAAGTCGGACAGTCACAGTAAAGCCAGAAACATTGCACCTTACTGTGCTGTAGGTTTCTATTTTTAACTGTAACTAGTTACTTTATAGACTGTACGTTAGTGTGATGGTTGAATATAATATTTTGCTTTCTGTACACAAATGTAAAATGCCAATGAGAGACTACTCCTCTACCTTGAGTCCTGTTTGCCCTCCGCAAAAAAGCAATACAAATAAGAACAAACCAAGAAAAACATACAAATGACCAATAAATAAATATCAGTGAAAAAAATACACTGTAGAATCATTTTTCTTGCTCTGTGTCACAGATCTATGATTGATAAAATAACAGCTGTGACTTAAAAGAAAATAAGGAAAACACCCAATATTCTCCTCTCTGCACAACAATCTGCAACACAAAACAAAACAAAAACAAAATAAAACCCATCACAAGTGCAACATCAGTCACGACAGTCTCAGCATTAGAAAAAGAAAAGAAAAGCTCTGGTATTTGACCAATCAGCTCACTACTACAGCATCAGACAAACCAGAAAGAATAATAAAAAAAATCATAAAATAAAACTGAATAAAAAATAAATCCAAAAGCAGTGGGCAGGGATGAGGGGGAAAAAATTAAATAACAGCACACACTTTATGACCCAAACTGGGGTAACAAGAAATAAATCGATCATGATATCTGATCAAAGGAAAACAACAGATAATAATAATATAAAAAATACTATTAAACTCTCGGTTCAGAGGTTGTCTTTATGTGGCGCTTTAAATAAGGTGGACAGACACTACAGCGTAACGGTGAGGAAAACAAACAAACGATTGCTCCACCTCGCCAGTAAAAGAAACCTTTAGAAAGACGGACAACACTGTCCAGCTCTCAGCGCTGTCTGGGATCACCCATTTATTTCTTTGTTCAATTTGGTGTCATCTTTGCCCTGAATGATAATAATAATAATAATAATAATAATAATAATAAAAACAGTAATCATAGTAATCATAATAAAAAAAAACAATAGACAAAAATAAAAGCTAATAATAATCACCATCAATAAAGACTTTTGGTAGACAAATAAACATCACACACACTCTCCGCTCGCACAGCTAACTGAAAAGAAAGACACACACAGCACGTGAATGAGGGGAAAACAGGACGTTGAGACGTTTTTTTCTCTAACAAATACTGTCTGCTAATAAAGATACAGCTCCTCCTCCTCGACGACTAGTGACGGGTCCAGAGTGAGAAAGTATATTGCAAAAGTTGACAGAGAAAAAAAACAAAACAAAAAAAAAAAAAGGCAAAAGAAGTGTGTCTTTTCCTAAGTACACAATAATTCAACATTTTTGCAAAAACAAAATACAGACTACATGTGTAAAAATCATAAATAAGGATAAAGTTTTGTGCATCCCCGCCCCAACCAACCGTTGTCTTGGAAGAAAAAAACAAACAAAAAACAAAACAATGGCAGTTTACAACGGTGACAATAACATGCAATTGATATACTTTACAGCATTGATCTCCCCATAAACTACAAACCCCAAGTCTAACCCCCGTCCCTCCCCAACCCCAGTACAATCCTTAAATATTTGTCAGCTCATTCAAAACATATCTCTTGCTCTCTCTGTTCTCTGTGAACTAGCTGAAGGCGGTGACATTAATCACACGGGGGGGGGGGGCATGAAAAAGAAAAAACACACACTGTCGCTAACTCCAGTTTATCCATAAATCTGTGTATGTACAGGAGGCTTTTTTTTCCCATTGAAGCAAGCTGACATGGTTTGAATGACTGCATAGTGAAAATGATATTTGGTTTACTTACAGATGGGTTTACGACACACACATACACCCACACACTCAGACACACCCACACACTCACACTCACTCCCCCTCGGTGTCAAGGCACAGCGCAGGTATACACGCTATGAACTAGCTGTTTTTATACACCCCTGGCCTCGCACCTGACAAGCTTATATATACACATGAAGCCACTATTGGCAGTAGCAAGCATTGCTGTGTAGAATGAGTTAACTTTATACATTTGGGGGTGTGTGCGTGGATTAGTAATCATACTCGACAGTCATGATCTGATTGGTTTCACAGAAGGTGTAGCGTGGCGCTGTCACCCAATCAGGTGTCTGGATGAAAATGCATGCAAAGAGCACGGACGAGCGAGTGTGTGGGTGTGTAAAATACACATCAGCTTAATGACAGAGAAGCTCGACAGTGGGAGACTGGGTCCAGCTTGGCGTTTTTTGGACACGAGTTACACAAACAGTTTGAACAGTGAACGTTGTAGTGAGTGTTTTTGCACTGCACCAATAAGTGCACCTCAGGCTGGGCTGGCAGTGCAGTACAGCGGATGGATACTAAGCACCAGATTCAGGTCTATATACAACAGGGACACTGAGCAGGTCTGTCATGATCAGCCCCAAATCCTGTCAAGAGTCCCTGTTTGCTGTTGGAAGCTAAATCAGTTCCAGGTCACACCCTGGTCCCCAGATTAAAACCCGACAAAAGGCTGAACTAACTAACGGAGTTGTGCTGGCTCACCATCACATCTGCCCGGGGGGCCTGTATCACTGGGAGTCATGACGATTTTTGGGCTTCACTCAGGTCTTCTGGTATCACAAAACTGGCGCACTTTTAACCGGGGCAGATCACCATGGTAACCAATGGTGCAGGGCTAACGGAGCAGGTTACCTTCAGAGGATCTGATCTGAACCAACAGGCCACCTACTGACCAATCAGAATCAGAGTTTAGTTTACTCATCACGAGGAGGAGTAACACTCCTACAATTACAATTAAAAACAGTCTTCTGTGGTACTGGAGGGAGCTTCCCTCAGTTTGAAAAAAAAAATAGCTCTAATGATCTATGTTTATTATTTTCATGGGGGATATAGTGGAGCTAGACCAATATATGTATGTGCTGGCTGATAAGTAATAAGACATTACAGTTCGGGATTCACTATAATTATCGGGGCTGAAACATGATCAGCCAATGATGGGAAATGTATTTTTAATTAAAAATGTACATTACAACAGCCAACATTTCATTGGCTTGTGATTAAGAACTCTTTTATGTGAACACACTTGTAGCTGGATTGGAAGCCGGTTGATAACCAGCTGTGTGATACCAGTTTTCCAGGATCGCTATTGTCCAGTGGCTCAGCGAAAGCCAGACAGCCCACAGAGAGCCGGACTAAGTTGGATTTACTTCTTGATACAGGCCCACAGAGAATTGATTCACTGAGTACGAGCATGAGTCGGCTGGTTTTATTGCTCGGCCCTCGCCTTGTGTTAGTTTAACAGTCTCCCCCTGTAAAGTATATGACACACACACACAGCACTGCTATACTACAGCGCCCCCTCCCCCCACTACCTATAGAGAGATTTCATATATATCATAGCTGAGAGTAATCAATTATAATGTCAATAACAATAGTCATAACAATAACAACGCTCTTTTGTATTTTTTGTTGAGTTGTGGACACCTTTGGTGTGAACTGTCAAGGTTGTCAAGCTTGCAGGTGACCTGTGGACAGATGGAGGGGACGGATGGACAGAGTAAAGGATGGATGTGACAAAAAGCATCTGGACAGACAGACATTACCTCTAATCATATCTACACTGTACAGAGTTTAGTGTGACGGGATATAAATGATGAACTACTTCCATAGAGCTACATTTGAGGTGAGGTGTGTTTATTTTGTGTGAGTTAGTACTTTTTGTGAAGCCGATCTCTCCCTGCACTCGCTCTCCTAATCCATCTCACCCTCTCTCACTTGCTTTTGCCCTCATCAGACTTGCTCATCTGTATTTGGTAACGTGTTGAAATTGCATTATTTCACTTATTTGGCTTAAAAGAAAAAGAATAAAGTATTTGTCCTTTGGGGAAAAGAAGTGACAGCAGCATCTAAAGCAATAAAAAAAACAAAGTAGCAGCAGTAGCAATGTAAATAAATAACATTGTTTGAACAGAACAGTAAACATCATAAACACAACATGCTAAGTCACTCGCTAAAATCATAATTGGTAGGTTGGTGTAACACCTTGAAAGCTTTTTACAATAACCAGCTAGCCTCAGAGCTCGGCAGTCCTGTTTCCTTTCTGTTTCTTTTCTCCTTTATTCTCCACAATTACTTCCTGTCATCCAGTTTGTCTCTGACTTTTCTTCAACTTCCCATCCCACTTTCTCAACACTCCCTGTCTTCCTTCTCACCTCACTCCATCCTCCGCTCTATCGTTTTCCTGTCGTTTCATTTTCACTCATCTCTCCTGCCATCTTGAAAACATTCCTACACATCTCTGTCTCTCTGACACTTAACGGTTTCCTCTCTATCGTTGCCAGTCCTCGGTTCTCTGTGTCTAGCAGTGATTTGGTTTGGTGCGTGACGGGGCGTGGGAGTCTGCACATCTAGCAGGCTGTGGCTGTGGCCCTGCATGAGGGGAGGCAGTGGGACTCTAGACAGTCAGTCTCTGTAGACCTGCGCTCATTAAGTACATCTATACATGTCAATTTTAAACACATTGGCCGGACTGACACACTGAGTTTTATCTCAACAATCCTCTAATTCAGGGGGTCTCAAAGTCAGGCTACCTGGGGCCATTGGACAGGTTGTTTTCTCCCCAGTGGGGCCACATAAACACTTTAAAAAGAAACAAAACGTTGTTTCAGATTGTATTTCTAGAGAATGGCAGCTTTGTCCTTCCAGATTTTTACCTAATTAATCTGAGTTTTGATATTAAATAGAGAATCATTAGGCTTTGGACTGTGTGTCCAGAACAAAATCAATTATATCCCTAACCTTTGCAGTCTGGAAATTTTACATTTGATAATTAATTGAAAATAATTAGGGGATTGATCAATAATGTGAATATTGAAAGAATAAATATTTACTTTAAAATATGCGCAGCCTTTGGTCTGGTAACACTGTGGAGCACTACATCACACTAAACAGCAGAGGCAGATAGAGAGGTGGACAGAGAGGAAGAGGTAGAAAAACAGAGAGTAAAGGAGGAGTAAAGAAATGCTCCACAGGTAATAAGATCTACCCCATTTATATTCTTTGTACACGATAAACTCCTGTTCTTTGCCTTCTCAATGAAAAAAACCTCCAAACTCTCTCGTTTCTCACACTAGTAACAGCTATTCAATCTTCCAAATGATCATCAGCTCCCCTCTTCTTCTACTTTCTTTGCTTTTCTCTCACACACATCTACAAAGTCGGACACTCCTCCTTTCAAACTAATCTTTTAACATCCCTCCATCTCTTGTAACGCTCCTTTAGTTCACCTAAAAGTCATTCTGAATACACAAAAACCATAAATGTCTTCTCTTCTACAAAGCTAGAATGCAACGCTAATTTTTTTGTAATTCTTTTTGTGTTTTTTTCCAATTATGTAGCTGCTAAATACAACGATGGGTGCTCTAAACATATTTTATATCAAAGTTAATAAGAATGACTATCCTTATGTTAAAAATGAAGCACAGCCAACAAATTAATTCATTCTTCTCTGTGTGTTACAGCTGTAGTGCGAAGGTGATTAAATGACTAGGAAATATAATCTCACTTTAAAAAAAAGAACAGTGACTGTGTCTTGATATTGATCCATACACGCGCTCGCACACACACACACACGCACACACACAGATACACACACAAACACACACACACACACACACAGATACACACAGATAGATACACACACAAACACACACACAGATACAGCCTGAGAATGTGTGATAGTAGAAACACCTGAAGAATCATAATTGCACCGGACATTGTTATGTCCTCCATAACGTTTATGTACAAGAGAGATTCAGGTTTGCTAATGTAGCAGATGCTTTGTTCCAGTGTGTAGTGACTACTCTGTTGACTAATCCAATGGCTTGGATCAATGCTGGAGACAGACATGTAGGTGAAAAACTAATGAAAAGTGGAGGAAATACAGAAACACATACGAGACACGCACACAGTTTGTATGTGTGTTTGTGTGTGGCTGTTATACACACTGTGATGTGACATGATATGATAGTGTGATGAGAAAGGACAGTGTGTAAACAAAGAAAGCTAACTACAGTGTGCACCTTTTTCTCTTCCCTCCTTCCCACGTCTGCCTGTCCAGATTCAACACACTAATAAACAGAACCACCTGTGTCATCCATCCATCTATCAGTCCATCTCTCCATCCATCAGTCCATCCAGAGTCGTCCTCCTCCTCTGTGGGCTCTTCAGGTGCTCCGGTGAACAGATGGACAGGCGGGCTGGGTCTAACGCTAGGCTTAACTGCTAACGCTGGGCTAGACTAGGACAGACTAAGTCTGGGGTTGGCAAAGCTAAAGCTAGGCTAGACTAGCGTCTGGCTAAGCTAACGCCGGGCTGGGCTAGGCTACCTACTGAAGAGGGAGTGGAGCTGGTGCTGATGGCTGTAACACTGGCTGCTGCGAGGTGACTCGGTGCGATCCATCACCGTCTGGAACCAACCGGCCACGTCCACCTCCAGCACCTCGTAACGCAGTATGAAACTATGCTCCTGGACGAGGGAGACAAAGAGGCACCAAGAGTGAGACAGTTTAGTTACCTTTGACTGTTGGGTAATTCTGGTAAATCACAACAAAATATATATATATTTTTATATTACAACTGGTGTCTTACCAGCAGTGTGTGGTATTTCGGCCTTTTTCTGTGATCCTTTGTGAGGCTGTGGAAGGACACACACATTAAGTGAAGCTGCAACTGAGTGAATTTTAAAAGATACATTTTAAAGCCACATTGTGTAACTTCTCTACCTTAAAATAACAGCTTCAAAATCATTTTAGTACACTGAGTTGTAATTGGGTGAATGGTGCCGCTGTCATTCCCACTCTGTGCCCCGTACGCATGTTCTCGCACTATATTATTTTTGCCTCCGGGTCGGGACAAGTGTGCTTTACGCCAGTAATGACTGATTTTGGTGAAACTGGATCATATTTTGTGGGGGAAACGTTTTCTCTCCCTCTGATGTCCTCTGGCTTCTCCGCCTCAACTTTCTGTGACTTTTAGAGTTTCCTGATTGACAGTAAAGTAACTTGCAAAATGTAAGCTGCTGTTAGCTGGTTAGCTTAGCCTTGCTGCTTCAGCCTATGCTCACAGCACCAAGGAGCATTGGCGTTTACACTGGTAGCACAGACAGGACCTTTGGACAGCTGGGAGGAGGATGTTTGGGAGGGAATGCCGACAGAGAGCAGCGCTGGCGTCATGCCAGAAGTCAGCTAAAACCCCCTTCAGAAGGTCTGAATCTTATTTTATATTCATTTAAAAAACAGTTTTTCAGAAATCTGTACTCACCAGTCTTTGACGAAGGACTGGAAGTCGAGGGAGAAGCCCATGCTGAGAGGCAGCAGAGGAGGATCTTCCTGCAGCACTTTGGTCAGAACTTCAAAGTCTGTCTTGCAGTTCTTGTAGGGAAACTGTCCCGTGGCCAGCTCCACCTAGAAGACACAAGGACCCGTTAACATCCACTGTCATCAACAACAAACACGTCACAATAAAGAACACAAAACAACTGGATGTATGCAGGGTTTTGTCAGTAAACTTATTGGACTATTTGACTAATGTTCACTGTTCTTCAGATGTGGTGGAAACAGGTAGTTTAGTTCCTATTCTACTTCCTGAGGCTCTACAGGTCAGGTTACCACTCATGTTTGTGTTCACAGCTGTAGAACAATGGATGAAGCTACAGCAGGAAATTCAGATAAGGTAAAACATCCCTGGCCCCACATTAGAGAGCAAGCTCCGGTTGTCTCCTCCAGTGCATCAGAGCTGACACTGAGACTGTTTACACTGTGCTTATGCCCACAAGACTTATAACATATAACAACTTACTTACAAATATCACACACCAAATGCTCAGCTGCTCCTTCTTTATCTTATAGTACTATAGTCTTATAGCAAACATCCACATGATACTGATGGAAATGAAAACAGTAGTTACCAGAGTTTTTTTAAGCCATGGCACCCTTTACCAGTCCTGATCTTGTGACCCAGCACCCACTTTGAGAACAAGAGCAAGTGCACTGCTTTTATGGTAATAAAATGAAAGCAGGTTTACCAGAGAGATGCCAAGGCTCCACACATCTGCTCGGATGTCATAGTCAGGTTTGGTGGGATCTGGAGGGTCTATTCTCTCAGGCTGCAAGAAACAAAAACAAGGCAACGCTCTGTTTAGGGAAACAGTGTGTGTATCATGTGGAAACTGGAATTCCTGACAGCATCTGTTTGTATCCATTTATTCCTTGTATTGATTGAATATGAAAATATATTTGTATAGCTACAAACACAAATATGTTAAACTGAATGTTTGTCTATAGATGACTCACAGACAGGATGTGGTAACTTTGAGTGTGTGGGTTTTCACTCACCGCCATGTAGGCAGCACAGCCAGCACTGCGGGTCTTTGCCTTGGAGTCGACGAGGCGTCCGCTGATGCCGAAGTCACACAGTTTGATCTGACCTTTATCGTCCAGGAGGATGTTGGAGGGTTTGACGTCCCGGTGGATGACACCATGTTTCTCTTTCAGGTACAGCAACGCCTTCACTATCTGGAGCAGACACACACACACACACACAGAGTAAGACTATACGTACAAAAAAAATCATGAGAGCAGTGTTACACTTTCCCATGTGAGTGTTTCTTCCACTTACCGCCACTGTCATCTTTCCAAGGATTCGCTCCGGGATGGGGCCCTGGATTCTCTTCTTCAGCTTCTCAGCACATGTTCCCATCAGCTCCATGGCAATGAAAACATCCGTCTGCGTACGTATACAAACAAACATACACATCCAGCTATCAGTTCAAGAGGTACAAAAGGGAACTTGGGAAGTTTATTGAGGTGTTCAGATGGACTGAATTTAGCAGTAGAAATGCTCCGATTACTACTGTCCTGTTAAAAATACACACAGTAATGTATTTAGGGGGAAACCCACATTGGTAACTATGGCGCCATAGCACTGGATGATGTAAGGGCAGTCGTGACTCTTCAGCACCACATCCAGGTCCATCAGGATCCTCTTGTTCTCATCCTTGTTTCCTGTACGACGCATTTGCTGGTAACACAGACACACACACAAAAAAAAGAATATTTAAGACTATTGCCTGCATTTGAATGTATGAAACACAAACCATGCTGGGTGTTTAGAAACAAGCCATTAGGAAATCACAAAACAAAGACTCTGCTGGTGAGCTGATTGACTCCCTAATTGTTAAACAGTTCGGACGGCTACAATTAAGTCATCTCTTAAATAGGAGGGTTGTTATGTGGGGTTATTACTGCCTTAGTGTTGGTTAACTAGTCAAAATTAAAGCACAACAGAAAATCATAGAGCTGAGCCGGGCTGAGCATCAAGCTGTATTTTGATCCTATTGACTGATATTTCAGAGTTTGCTAAATGTCTTCATGGCCCCTGCAGGGAAATGTTGTATTTTAACAAGCCAAGACATCAACAACCCACACATTGCAATTTGCTCCCTAAAAGGGTTTCACTTGACAAAAAGGATGAGATGTACCTGAGTCATTCAACAGCACAGCATTAGCAGCATAATCACACACATATGATCAATTTGGAGTATAAATAACTACACAACACTCATATTAAGGAGACACATTGCATTCAAAATGATCCTGGGTAACACAAAATTCCGTCTTAGTGTGCTGTTGTTTATCAGGAAACGTTTTAGGTGAACCTTATTATGTCTTGCACAGATGTACAGCCACAAACAACAGAAGCTTACAAGGAATGCTTAGAATCAAGTGTGTCTATTATGTTTTACCAAACCTAAAACAAGTTATCTGAAATACACTGCTCTATACAGAGCCTCTTCTGATTGGAAGCTGTTACCAACCCCATAAACACATTTCTAATAGAGAGAGCTTCACATTGTAAGTGAAATATAATTTAGGTAATGTGGTCTAAAGCATTTTAATAATTTGGGGCCCTTTAGGGTCTCTTACGTCTTTCTGGGTCATGTACCAATTGAGTCCTGTTTTGAACTAACTGTATTATTAATCATGTTAAATCTTAACAGGCAGTTTTTCCTTGCCGCCATCGCCAAGTGCTTTCTCATGGTGGTACTGTTGGGTCTCTGTAAATAATGTTATAAAGAGTTCGGTCTAGACCTGCTCTATTTGAAAAGTGTCCTGAGATAACTTCTGTTATGAATTGGCGCTATACAAATAAAATTGAATTGAATTGAATTTTTGATGCATTTCATATGTTATTATTTCCTTACTGTAAATGTCTACATTTCTTTCCAAAGACTAGCATTTGCAATAGGTGATGGTAATGTAGATTCTACAAACAATACACAATAAACTCAAGCATGGGAATAAAACATTTGGGTCCTATTAAACCTAGGAAAGTTAAATGTTTTGATTTCACGGAAAAGGGGTCGACACTTTGTTCTGTTTGACTTTCATTAGTGACTGACATGAGCAGAATCAAACAAAGACAAAACATAAAAAAGTAGGGGTAAATTAAATAAATGTCCTGTAAACACTGTTATAAAAGTGGGATGCATCTTTTATCAAGCTACATTCCTGAGGAAAGGAAGTACTGATAAATGTGTTGTGTAGACAGTGACCACCTGAGTGCAGGAGGGTCTTACTTTGACAGCGATGACATGGCCGGTCTTCTTGAATCGCACTTTGAAAACTTGTCCGCAGGTCCCGCTGCCGATCTCTCCCTCACTGATCAGGTCCGTCACTTCTGCTGGATACCGCTGTGGGCGTACATTGGGCACAAACACAGACAGAAAAAGGCTTTAGATCATGTTCAAGATATTTTTACTGCTCAAAATGTTGACTAAATGTTGTTTCTATGTAAACTCTTCAAGCTGAAAATAGATGAGAGAGGCCGGTTCTGACTTTCTGCATCGTAAAGCAGCAGTAAATCCCTCTGGACCATTTACTAACAAATGTTTTAAGCTGCTCCCCCATTGGCCATGTCTGAGAACATCAGCACACAGTGGGAAGAGGCACGTTGCATGCTTCGTTAAAATTAAATCATTGGTGACTGAGAGGCTGTGAGTAACATCTCGTCGTGCGTGATGTAACGACCCCTGTGGGCTAATGAGAGGAAGTAAAAACAATCTGGAGTGCGGCACTGAGTCAAATCATTTTCTCAACCATCTTCAAACCCTGACTGGCACTGACTATGATACTAGACCCGGAGGCTGGAGGAGGGAGGGAGGAATAAAACAAACAACATGGCCAACCATAGTCAATAGTCAATCTCATTTTATCTTAGCAAACAAGAATAACACACATCATAATAATGTGTTTACTGAAAGAGAGATGGCTGCTGTTTACTTGAAAGATTGTCTGCTCCGCTCAAGGAACACTTCAGTGGTGTGTGGATGTTTGCTTTCAGTGGGTTTTACTGTAACCTTCACCTGGTTTAACAATGGTCTCCATAATCACTACACCAACCTGGCTGCTTTTTCATAGCAGTGAAATAGATATCTGAATATTGAGGAGAACAAACAGGTGTTAAAAGTATCTGCTAGTGTTAAGAAACTAAATTAAGATGTCTGGCTTATTTTATATTTTCTTATTGCTAACAAGTCTGTCTCTCAAGACATTCTTATTTTCCTCCCTGTATGTGACACCCTCAGTTCAAACTGAAGCTGTAAATCTTTTTGATGAGGATTTGTAGTAAATGTTACTCAGGGGAGTAAATAGTGCAAATGTTTTGAACAACAGAGGTCAATGGCACAGAGGAGTAACAGATCATACTGTGGCTGCAATATAATATGTGTTAGTAGGAGCTTTCAAATACCTAATTTCTGCCGTAATATCACTCTGGCTTTCAGTTATGGGGTTTCTGGCATGTAGGAGAGTAACATTTCCAGATTAGACAGACTCAATGTGCGTCTCTGTGTGCATATCTCACCTGACCGTCGATCTTCAGATAACCTGTCTGTTTCATGATCTCCTGCAATTTCTGGTCAATCTCTGCACTGTGGGGACAAAACACACAATGTCAGGGAGCGCAAATGCAATATGAAATATGTGCTCAGTATGAAAAGCCCATACCGAGATGAGAGTGAGACTTCTGACTCACAAATGGATGCTGTGCATGTTTCTGTGCATCTCTCACACCCACACACTCTGCGTGTGGATCCATTACATGTAACATAACCTGCTCTTCTTTAAATGCCCCTTCATTCTGCTCTCTCCCCCAGTGGGTCTGTGTTGCTGTGCTCATGTGCATGTTCATGTGACAAGCTTTTGCTGTTTTTAGATTACTTTAAATACAGTTTGTCATTAATCATTGCTCAGATGAACATCAGCATGTGTCCACATACTTCTCTAGGCTCTTCTGTAGGCCGTATGGAGGTGTGGGCAGGGTGAGCATGTGTCGCGGGCGGCTAGGGTAGGGGTGGTGCTGAGGCGAGCTCTCTGAAGACGATGAACGGCTGCCACCATCGTTGGCCAGCGGCAGCTGGAGTGCTGTAGTGTGTGGGGGGGGCATGACATATTAGACACAGACAGGAGAACAGAGCGAATGGTACAGTACGTATTGCACCAGAGGCCAGCATGCCAGGAGGTGTAAGATGGCTACGATTACTCATGCATTCAATGACTCCATTATTTTAGTGGTTTACAGCCGATGTCTTTACATAATGACTTAATCAAAGAATGTGATCTATCATATCACGTGTAGTACCAAGTGAAAATTATTTCCAATGAGACAACGAGAGAAGTTGGCCTTGGCGAGGTCCAAGAGTTCTTTCTGACAGCCCTACTACCTAGACACAGTGTTTTTATTTTGGCAAAGTTACAGCTTTGTTTTTGTTTCGCTGATGTTTTACCTAATGTTAAAATAAACAGGACAGTTATCTCAGAGCAAAAGCAAAACCATTCTCAGGCAGGGAGACACAGCACAGGGTTAGCCCACACCTTGGGAGGTACAGCAAGTCCACAGTTCGTTTTTAAAGGAAAAATGTGGTTTATTAACAATTAGATTTTATTTTTTTTACCTCCAGCCATTTGTTTTCTGTGTTATGGAATCATTGTACTCACTAAAGTGACTGCTGAGATCTCAGAACGCAGCAACATTACAAAAATACGACCAACAGGGAAACAGGAGCAGTCAGTCCATCATAAAGGTTTTAAAAATGTGAGTGTTGCTAATGTACATGTTGTTATTAATCTCTCATTGTACAGGGAAACTGTCAGTGTGCACAACTACGGCAGCCATAGTAGGTCAAAGTAGAACCAGGAACTCAATCTAGGACATGTAATGGACATTAACAATAGACAATAATTTTACTGTTCACCTTTGTTTTCTCTTCTAGATAATTTTGGCTACCCTGGGCACATTTTACTACCCGTATAATTATTTAACTACTTCTATTTGTTGCCCCATTGGACATCTTTTTATCGATGTAAACATGTTCCCAGATCTCAGAGATGTTGTCATAACTGACAGAACTGATGGCCGGGGCAATGAAAATAAACACTCAGTTTGACATTAAAGCCAGTATTACCCACACAAAGCCACGCAGCCTGAATTCTGTTCACAACTGACTGGCACTGAAATCCAAAATCCAAACAGAAGATGCAACATGCTTCTAGCCCCGTATATAAACATAGGTGTAAATCATGCATTTAAGGAAGTTTTAAGAGAACGCTGACCTTGTAATATCAAGAGTATGTGCAAGCAAACACAGACTAATTTCAAGAGAACAATCTAAAGTAGTATTAGCATTGACAGCCTCACAAACATGCAATGAAATAGTCAGACAAGTTTGGCTTCAGACTTATTATCAATTTCTCATCAGCGACATTTTTCAAAGCGTTCAAACACCAGTTTGCAAAACATTTCGAGGACCGTGCAGCTGTTATTTTTATTCTCATTATTTTTGTAGTAGCAGGCTGGCAGCTCTTCTGAGAGCGCCAGCAGGTGTTTGTATCCATGAGTCACCTGTGGAGGGATTGGCCTGCAAGGGGAGAATAAGTTAGTGTAGGGGAGGAGGGGTTAGTATGGAGAGGAAGGAAAACTCAGGCAGTCTTTGGCACGGATTGCATCTCCATAGTTCGGCTGGCTCCAGATGGACGGATGAGAGGATAGATGTGCAGACAGAGCGGGGAGAGGGGGAGACGTACAGATAATCGCAGGCACTGCTGCACCGCCTCCTGCTCACACAGTGCTGCTGCAAAAGGAAGGAGGAGGAGGGAGGGGATGCCAAACGATGAATAACAGCAAACAACATCAAACAGTCCGATGTGAGAGAGAGAGAGAGAGAGAGAGAGAGAGAGAGAGAGAGAGAGAGAGAGAGAGAGAGAGAGAGAGAGAGAAATTCGGCCAAAACTGCATAGCACAGACTAAGCTGGAAGTCAGACAGTCAGACTCAGACAGGAAGGCAAGTCTTCAATCGCCATACAAAGAAAACAGAGAGAGAAAGAGAAGCCAGAGTGTTCACAGCACTCCTGCAGACGGACCAGTGGGGATGCTGGATTAGAGACCGTGTCAAACAAAACACAACCCAAAAACATTGTGTCGTGCAGAAAAAGCCACATGCACCGTGATACTCTGCCTCCAGCAAAACAAAGGTTAATCATCTGACACACGTCCACACACACATATACATTCATACACTGTGAACATCAGCACACACCAACACTGCCCTGCCACTGGCACTGACACACAACAGACAGAGAGAGGAGTAGGGATGGAAAGATGGAGAGAGGATGCAATTTGAGGGGAGGTGTAAATAACTGCTGGGCTAAAATATCAGAACTGGATTAGGTGGATTAAACTTTTGCCCCTCAGAAGAGGGGCAAAAGTTTAACAAAACTTAACAGGCACTGGTGTGAGATACAGAGTAAGAAATGATTTGTGCGAATACGAGAGAAAGTACAGTATGCGTGTGCAGGGAGGAAATGATTTATAGTTTATATGCTGGCATGTTGAAAGTTATGGTTAATCCATATCTTCTTATATGTTCCTTAAATCTAGTCAGTCTGGCTGAAACACATAATATCTTCCACTATATTTGCTGGAGGGAGTTAATGTAACAGTAAATAATAAATCCTTTCCCACAGTCTGTCCGTTTTAGACTTTAAATTTAACTGGATTAAAGAAACGTGCATAAAAAGTGTTAAAAAGACAAACGTGAGTAAGTCAAGTAGTAATATTGCGGCTATACTGGCAGAGGCAAAACAAAGGAAACTTAACTCGTGAGAATGTAGGGAACTGCCTGTCTGATAGGTTTAATAAATAAGAAAGATAAAGATAAGGTGGGAGGAGTTGGGAGGTGAAATGGGGGACACAGGTGTTGGGGGTGGGAAGAGATGTGCAGTGGCAGAGAGAGCGATGGATTGAATGATACCTGCACGCTGGGAAGGGGCTGGAGCAGGACTGAGCTGGATCACGATGACTAAACAGAGGAAAGAAAATATACACACACACACACACACACACATTACTGCACTGTTCTACTGACACGGTCACACACACACACGCACGCACACACACACACACACACACACACACACACACACACACGCACACACGTTCCAACAAACAATATATAAAAACAAACAAGGGAAAAAAACACAGAGTTTCTGACTTTTATAATTCACTTGTTCTCTTCACACATGCACTAAAGAGTTGTATATGAGAGGACAAGGCTGCCGTTATTCTTTCTTTTTCTTATTGACAATAAATCCTACAGTAAGACCAAAATCAACAATGTGCTGGTCCGTCTTTGAATACTTTCCTACGTCCCCACCTTGTCTGTGGCCCATTGGTTCCTACTGAAGGTAAAAATCTTTTAAAAAATGGCTAACAAATATATTATTTTTGGTTTTTTTTTTACAAAGGAAACTCAGTCGGCACTGTGGTTTTTAGCAACCGTTACCCAAACAGGAGTGCATATTTCTTAAAGACTATTTATAACTGCAGATTCATTTGGTGCTTTAATGAGTATTTGTGGTAGAGAGATGGTGTACATCAGCTCAAAGTAAACTACAGTGCCCAAGTTCATTGTAATGGAGCAACATGTAATATAGTGCGGCTCATCTGTGTGTTTTTAATAGAGATGAACCAACTTTTTTCTCTTCCAGTACCTCAACTCAAAGTATCTGCTGATACAGAGTACCAACCCGATACCAGTGGTCACCTTTTCCCTCATTTAAAATATCTATAACTCACTGAGCGGATCATTTTACATAAGGTAACTAAAAGTGAGGGATTACAGGTCAACTAAAAATTGATTTGGTGGCCCGCTGTGTCTTCACGATGATGGAGAACACTGACTTTTATAACAACACTGAGAAAGAACCAGTATAAAATGATCGGTTATGTCACGGCCGATCAACTTAACCAGGTCAGTATCGGATTGTAGCATTAGTGGATTTTGGTCTATGTCACAGAGGAATAATCACATCAGGCTTTACCCACAGTCAATACTACTAGCATTCATTTGTTGACAATATGAAAAATACAGAATAAACAGCAGCGTTTCCTTTAACTAATTCACACTCTCGTCCTTACACACAGCTTTAAAAAAAACCAAAACATTTTGAAAAGAACAGAAAAGGGGAGAAAATAGCAGCTTTGGTGGTCACTCAAACCTGACATTAATGAACCAGAAGTGATGATCTGTAGGGAAGAATGATCTTTGTATCCTGTCAGTGAGTGAACAGGGTTTCTTCCATTGCTGGCTGCCAGTTTCAAAAACGGACTATATGGCACATTGGTAAGATAATGAAGAGCTCTCTGCCTCCGGCACATTGTTTATTTCAGTGTTAACATGTCAGCACAGACATGTTGCAGACTCTCATACTAAAGAGCCCTCCCTCCCCCGTCCAGACGGGTTCAAGGGCCCAACATTTCCCACTCATTGAGTCTGCAGCACACTGAAATATTCACCTTTAAATGTCAAGTATCAGCTCGGTTGTGTTCACCTCGCAGCGCCACAACCAACGGTCGCTAACGTCTGCGGAGCGTTAGCGACCGTTGGTAGCTTCGCTCAGGTTAACGTCCGTTCCGTCAAAGGGTCACAACGGCCGGAGGAAACTGACTTTGGCGCAAGAGTCACACGCAAAACACGCCGCTTTACAGTTAAATTAAGTCCACATATTAGCTGTGAACACACGGCACCGTCTTTATATCTCACAGTCAGACTGAGAAACTACATGAAATGTTTTCGGGGTTGACGCTGGGGCCTGCCACCGACTATCACTCAGACTAGCTAGCCCGCTAGCCTAGCCTGTTTGACAGGACGGACTCAGAGCAGATTTCAGGGACGTGACTGCCAGCGAGATATTCAATGACAGCGCTTCAGTCTTTAAAACATTTCGCTTTCCTCACTGTGGAAATCGTCCCACTTGTTGAGTAAGCGATTTGACGGTAAAATCAACCGACCGAGCTGAGTCGGTGTTTGTTTATGTAGCTAGCCTGTTAGCATGTAGTAGCTAGGAGCAGCACAAACACCCCCGCTCCTTCCCTCCCGCCCCTCCGCCTCTCCGATCTTTCCCCCGGCTATTCTGGCCGTTACCGACTCCCCGGTGCTCCCCGGTGGACACTCACTCGGCCTCGGACGTGATCGCTGCGGACTCATGTCGATGTTGAGGTCGATTCTCCGGCGAGCTTCTTCATTTTCCTGCTTTAGTTTCTCCTCGATTCGCGACAGCCTCTGTTCCAGCGACGACATCTTGAAAAATTGAGCACCATGTAGTTCCCAGCAGAGCTCTCGACTCCCCTCTCTGGCAGGCAGACAGGCAGGACCAACACACACACACACACACACACACACACACACACACACACACACACACACACACACACACACACACACACACACACACACACACACACACACACACACACACACACAGTATTACAGAGTCATACATTAACAGTCAATAATGGTTCATAGTCATTGATCCAGGTTATACAGGTGAGGTTATTAAGGAGCCAGGCTGTCTTTAAAGGTGGACATATATCAAGGTTATTATAGTTAACTAAACAAAATAGTTGTGTATATAATAGTTAATAGTTGTGAAGCTATTTTAGTTAACTGAAATAAAAACTAGACTTATATAACTGAATCGATATTGTATATATACAAAACGAACTAAAATAAATAGAAATATGTCTTTAGTTGTAGTCTTTCCTCAAGCATGAGGAGATATGTTTACTGACACTGGGATGTACATGACTGTGAGTCAGTACCTATTCTCAACTTCCTTAATCTTGCCCCTGACAAATGCCTCCTAAATTATTATTAAAAAAAATAAACTAAAAAAAACTAAAACTTAACATTTTAAAAATAATAAAAAACTGAAACGAGCAAACCCAAAGTAAACTAACTAAAACTGAACATGAAAACAAAAATTATAATAAAAATAAAAAACAATAAAACAATACAAAACTACAGTAACTCTAGTCTGCTTGGAATAAATATGTGTGTCTGATTATGTTTGTTTTTTGTTTGTTTTGTCAAAAAAAAGTATAATTTCCAGATTAAAAGCATCTAAAGGCATCAACCCCTTCCACCTCATTAATGTAATTAATTAAATAATTCATTAATATGCACACTTTGTTCCTTTCTTATGTTTTCTTCCCACTTCACTATAAAGTTAATTGTCAGTGTTTGTGTACAGGTGGCTTTGAGTTTCTACCTCACACTTGTATAGGTTGTGTAGTGGACCAGGATCAGTTTTAATGGACCTGTGGATGTTTAAACAGCTCAATGACAATAGAGCGAAACCTATTTGCTGACGAAGCTCTGTGTTACAGTTGAAAGCTCCGGAGGATGTGAGTAAGTAGACCTTAAACTGAGATTGTTTCACACCAAAGCACGGCTGCACTGCCCTTAGCAAACTGGACGATTAGTCAATATTGTAGTCGACTGACGTAAAATTAAACTGCAACTATTTATTCATAAGAAATTAATAATAAATATTCTCTGACTCCAGCTCCCAAATGTGAGAACTGTCTGTTTATATAGTAAACTGAATATCTTATACATTTCAGACTGTTGGTAGGACAATACAAGCTACTTGAAATTACACTTTTATGGTTTGTGGGGGACATTTTTCTCCTATTTTCACGTGTTTTATTCATTGTTCATATAATGCTAATAAAGGCTAATGTCTAAATTACTATTATAACTATTATCTTGTCCTTCAGGTTTCTATTGTTTTTCTTGGTGATATTGTGGAAGTGAAACTTCTTGATAAAAAAAGACAAATAAACAAGTAACACCAGTGTTTCTCCTACTATGACAAGTCACCATGTCTGCTGTGAAAAAGGCCTTTTTGGGTTTAGTATTTATTATCGGACAAAATCATCACCATGTGCTCTGGGAACATGTGATGGTTATTTTTTTAAATATTCTCTAACATTTTATAAACTAAAAAATGCATAGATGAAGACCTAATGCAAATAATTGTTAGCTGCAGCCTCTCATTAAACTCCAATTAAAAACTTGTAATCAAAGGCGTCTGGTAGCTGAGTGGGTTAGATAGACGTCACATAAAATCCTTTTATCTCACTCAGTCAAATTAATCAGAAACACTGATTGGATGATACTTGAACAATAGATGGATATTTGAGCATTTTACATATAAAAACACATCTTGTATTTTGATGTGAATTTATTAATTTCAAGTATTATTTGTATGTGTAACATTTATAGAAGTATAACTTTAAGTGGCTTAAATCTGATCACTGAAGCAGTGGTTTGTGTTGTATTTATCCCAACCTGAAGATAATGCATGTTAGTGTTACGTAGTATCAATACATTGGAGATGTTTCAATGTACTGATCCCACATGATCACTGTAGTGATCCACTCTTGTGTTTTCCGATGATATCAATGATCATATTAGTCAAGCTGATCTTCAACATAAATGTGTTCCACAGTAATGTATTACATTATTACAGAGCTGAAAGATTAATTAATATAAAATTAATCAGCAACAATTTTGATGAATCATTGAAGTCATCACTGGACCCTTTTCAATCTGAGAATTTGATGTTTGTTTGCTGTTTTATATCATTTTTATTTTTGATACATTTTAAATGTATAATGTTTGGGCCTTATACAATATTAATATATATAATTTACATTTTTACAGACTGAACGATTTATCGCTTGATCTAAAACATAATCAACATACTAATCTACATTTAAAACAACCAATAATTGTTAAATTATTATAATCACAATCGTCAGTTTGTAAAGAGAAGATACAATATGATTGTATAATCACGACACGATTACACTGAAAGTTGATTAAAGATATTGAATTATAAAACCAAAGATTAAATCAAAAACAGGTCAGTGACCAATTTAGATCCTAAACCTGATCATTCATCAAGCTGATGTTCACACTTATACTCATCAACTATGTGTATGGATTTCTTACCGACATATTATTGTCTTATATTATATATAAACTTGTCTTCCTGGTATCTGTAACGCATAGTCCCATGACAACAGTACGCAGACACTTTTATTTACTCCAGGTTTTCTTTATAAAATAAGTCATCTCATACTCTCACATTGTTTTGTATTGTCATACACAAGATAAGATCCACACCATCATACATACAACTTCACAACAAACCTCTCCTGTACTCAGAAATGCTAAAGTGTTACAGAAGTTTATACCACTGGCTCATAATTTCCAACATTTATCTTTCTGTTTCCCTCCAATGATATTGTTCATTTAGAAACATATTGCCAAGAGAACTTCTTAGCTGGGGTCAGAAAGCTCTGATTGGCTCTGCTGTGGAAAAGTGGCTAATGAGGTTTGTTGTGCTTGTGCCGCCATCCAGATTTCCCAAATTCACTAAGATGTCAACTGGTTTTCGACGAAAACATGTATGATGTAATCACTGTGATGGAAACCAAACCCTGCAATGACCATAAAGTACATAACGTCTTTAAAAACTGTTGGCTTAAGTTCTTTAAAAAGACTTTAAAACAGCTGTTACAGCCAGTGTGTGTTTAAAATCAGATATAATTGTCTTGGTGGGAAATGACTTACTTCATGTACACAAAACTCTGGTAGCATTTAGATAACTGGATGAATGTGTCTCAAACTCATAATGGACACTGTGTTACTTACACATCAAGTCTTAGTGTTTTTTATGTTTTTTTTTTCAATTTAAAAAAATGAAATAACCTGCTTACCACGTAGCTTTTATGCTGGTGGTTGTGATTCTGTGTCTGCTACATCTGTTCATATCAATACCCAAATATCCAATTAAAAAAACACAGTATGTGCTGGGTATTTAAGAATGCATTGAGGAGTCATAAAATGTCATAAAATATGACTAATTTGTAACATTTGTCGCAGAAATTAAAATCCAAGCAGCACAAATTTTAAAACGTAGTTGGTAAAAGTCCAAAGAAAAGTAAGACAGTGGTTCTTTACCCCGTAGTTAACTCATTACTCACCTAGCATTGGCCAGCATGACTGAAGGTCGCCATTATACAACTGCTGGGAAAGCTATGAGTACAAATTCACTCTGAACTTCACTATTTCTACTCTCAAACCCCTTTTTTTTTTTTTTCTTGAGAGTATTTTTCTGCAGTACATCAGGTCTCTCTTCCTACTGCTGTATACAAAGGGCCACAAAATAAAAACTACATGCTTTTCTGTGGATCAAATACAAGTACAAATGTAAGGCATTGGTATGAGAGGCCATTAAGCAACGCCTCCAAACAGTCAACAGTACGAAGAGAAGCTCCTCCTCAGCTGCACAGGTGACTACACTGACACATTAAGAGGATGGGAGGAGGCATTTTAAAGGCTAATGTTTGCAACGATACACAAGTCACTGGTGTGTTGTACAATGATTGGAGAGGGGGGGGGGCTTCGTTTGTCCTTCGTTTGTGATAAAATATGTGACCCCATGAGCCAACTGTCCTGGCTTTTTTTTCCCTCAGTCCTCCATCTTTAAAACCCTACAGACACACAAAACACAGACCGTCTGCCTCCGGTCTCTCCGCATTCATTCACAGTGTAATTAACGGCAGACAAACAGTCAGCTGACAGTCGGTCCGCTCTGACAAAACTGTCGCGAAGCCTTCAAAAATCGGACATTCCTCGAGGTCTGTGAGCTAACCAGCCCACTAGCATAGGTCAGAGACGTAGTCAAAGTCCCGGAAGCTGTCCTGGTCTTTGCGGGAGAGCACGCGAGGCTCTCGTGGAGGCGTGAGCGCCGCAGCTTCAGTGGTGAACTCCTCGTCGAAGTTGCTGACGTCTTCCTTGCCGCCGATGGAGGGGATGAATGGAGGGGGCACCTTCCTTTGCAGCAACGCCTCCCAGTCCACGTTCTGGAGGGAGACAGAGAAAAAAGAGACACGAAATAGTTAAAAAGATGAATTCAGAATCTGCCGATCTTTCTTAGTTCTACATATATCTCCTTCAAGAAGGACAAGTAAAATCGTGTTTCCACGGGATATTCCACTTTAACAAGGTTCAGTGTTGCCCGAGGACACGTGAACAGGATGGATGGATGACAGGCTCCACCTTCTGAGCGACATCCTGATCAAACTGAAAATTTCCTGCTGCTACAATATGGATTTATTCTGTGTTATTTGGTCAGTGATCAGTTTGAATAGTCGTGATTGCTCCCACCCACATCAAAAATACAGCATGTGTACTTACTCTGAAAAATGGCTGTTTCTTCACCTCCTCTGCATCCTTTTCACCAGAGCCCAGTCTTCTCTCCGGGTTCCTCCTCAAAAGCTGCTCATAATGACACACGAGAATAAGGAAATGATGGTCAAACATCAACGTGTGACTTCTGAGATTGTGAGTAAGTGTCAGTTTGTCATCTATGTTGGTGAGTAATAAGTGTTTCATATGTATGTGCAGCATCTCTCACATATTGTTCATGGGTGCTAAAGTCAGCCAGAGAAGGAGAAAGAGTGTCTTTGAGTCTTTATGTGTGTGTGTGTGTGTGTGTGTGTGTGTGTGTGTGTGTGTGTCTATTTTTTACCCTTCTCATGATGCCAATAGCCTCGGTGGACAAGAAGCGTGGATAGCGGACTTCGTCATTCACAATGCTGTCAAACACCTCCTCTTCATCGTCGCCTGGGAATGGAGACTACACACAGGCAAAAGACATTTAATTCAATACAATGTCAGAGATTTGACATCCACAAATCAATGTGGTAATCGCAGTGAGCATGTTTGTGATTTTGAACATCCAATTATCTCTCTAGGAATATAAATAACGTATCAAAGACTGCAGAAATTCAGCACACTTGTAATATATTTAATGTTAAGGTCACATTTTCATAACCATTTATCAATATGAAATCATATACTTTTGCTAGTGTTGAGTATGGTGTCATTTGATCTGTTAATGGAGCGTTTACAGTACAGAGTAACATTTGAGACCCCAGAGTCAAACCATCCTTTATCAATTTAACCTCTTGTTGAATCTACTAATTTAGAAAAATAGAAAACCTTTCAAGACCTGGAATTGATCAAATTTATCCTCTATGACAGTGATAGCCAAATGTGGCATGCAATATGGTGCTGGGCCCTCTGTCCATTTTCTAATACACAATGAAAATAAATTGATTTGCACTGGGAAGGTTTTTGTTTGTTTATACCAACTGGTAAATGTTCAATAATGTGTCTCTCTCTGTCTGTTCCTTGCAAAGTTGCACATTAGCCAATCAGTGATTTGTGCAGTGCACAGAAGCAGTGACACTTCTTCTGTGGAACGTCCATATGCACAGGGATGCTGCCACTGTATATGTCTCCTTGCTGTCCTCAGTCATCTTTGCCAACATCAAAAGGCTGACAATGAAAACAGACAATTCAGTGAAACTCATACCCTCATATCAGTCCTAAACCAGTGTTTAATTTGCCAAATGACAATAGCTGTAAGCAAGGTTGCTGATATCAGGTGTCATCACGAGTCAAAACATGCTTCTGTGCAGCGTTCCCTCCTGGTAGTACGAGAGGAAAAGCTCTGAGGTAGTCTTATTCTGCCACATCAACAATCCTAATGGTTTGTTCATTTTATCTGACACATCTTTATTTATTAACTGGCTCCTGGCCTAATTGGCAAACCAAGTTGAGTATCCCTGCTCTACACCAAGCTCTGCTGTGAAAGCACAGATCAGACAAACGTGATATTAAACAAACAAGGTTATAATGTGTGTTCACATATACTTCATAGACCGCATAAGAGCTAAATGTGAGTGTATAATAGTTCTCACCTCTCCCACCAACATTTCATAGATGAGGACCCCCAGTCCCCACCAGTCTACTGCCCTGGTGTAGGATGTATCCGTTAGGACCTCTGGGGCCAAAAACTCTGGAGTCCCACAGAACGTGCTGGTCCGGTCCCCAAAGCCCATTCCTACAGACGAAGGCAGAAAGATGAAATTGTGGCTGAAACTCTTTAGGAAAATGAGTGCAGCAAGCAGACAGGAGTCACATAATACAATGTGCTCATCTGTTAGTATCAATATCCACCTTCTTTACACAGTCCAAAGTCAGCGATCTTCACATAACCATCTGTGTCTAGCAGCAGGTTGTCAAGCTTGAGGTCTCTGGAATAAAGGGAGGGTAAAAAGGTGTGGGTGAGAACAAGTGTCTCTTTACAGTGTTTCTGAGAGACTGTACAGAGGTGCTAACATCAGGATGCTACAGAGTTATTATAGCTTTGTATTTTTCATTAGTTTTCATTCTGCTCGTAATTTTTGTTTTCAGTTCATTTCCAGAGTGGGTTTGTACAAAATGTTTGGTTGTAGTTTAGCTTTTATTAGTGTCAGTGTTTTTATTATAATAAAACATGTGTTCAGAACAGATAATCCAATAAAAACACAGACTCTCATTCATGTAGACATCTCAGTCTCAATAAACAACAAACAAATTTGACCAAATTGACTTAAACTAAAAGACATTTCCTGTTTATTTTAGTTTGTTTTGTAAGTAAACATCGTTTCAGTTAGCTTGAACTATTCTAGTCTAGTTTTGATTTCTATTTTAGTTAACTAAAATGTTTTTTTCACATCTAGTGTTTAGTTTCTAAGTTCAGTTTTAATTAACTATAATAACCTTGCAATGCTAAAATGCTGATGTCAAGCAAGTATTATGTTCTGCTATTCTCTTCTATGAGTTTAGTGTGTGAGCATGCTAACATTTACTAAACTCAATCACTTAATGAAAAGTTAAGGGATCACCAAAGTTATTACATTTCTTCCTTTTGAAGGTATGAATTTTATGGCGATCCATCCAACAGTTTTCAAGATATTTCAATCCAAACCACAATTATCCACCTCATCGTGAGCCTGAGGAAAAGTCAAGGCAGCAAAGTGAGTAAGACTCATTCTCTGGGGACCGTGGCAATCCATCTTAAAGTGGTGGGTCGACCTACAGACTGACATTGCCATCTCTAGAGCTCTGCTGCTAGCATGGCTAAAAAAAAAAAGAGTTCACCTAAAGTGTTGAAACCTCTTTCGACTTCTTTGTGCAATTGGAATTTTCTTCAGATAATCAGCGTTTAGTGGAGTTGTTAAAGCTTTTCACAGATGTGAATGGATAGATGTTGTCTGTTCCTTCTTAAGGACACACATAGATGTCTTTTTACATCATCAAGTAATCAGATTTATGTTGGTTTCACTCACCTGTACACAATCTTATGGTCATGGAGGAACTGAAGTCCAAGAACTACGCAGGCTGCATAAAACCTGAATTCAAACCAAACAAACATTATTAGTGACCTGCAATGAAAGGACATTATATAAACCTTGTAATTAGTACACAACTGAATGAATGAGAACAAAAATGGACACACTACTAATGCGACTACCATACTATAGTGAATATATATCTTTAATGCCAGTTGTAGGCTTTTGGTTTTGGTCCTGTTAGCCAAAAATATGAATGAATTAACCAATAATTCAATCTGTTGAATGCACTGGATTTCATGGAAATTAGATTTTAAAAAAAGGTTTAAAAGCCAGACTTTAAATCCCTGAAGGCCATTCACACCCACTGTAAACCCACACAGCTGATCAGACCTCTTATCTGGACTGTGTGAGCATGTTGAGCCTGAGCCTGACTGAAATCCCCCTCACTCTCCTCTCGGCTCTGTTGCTCCTGAGCGACAACTTACATCCTTCTGTGTATACAGACTCACTTATCACACAAACAAATAATAGAATACATTTTCTCTTTCTCAATCACACACATATACAAATGTTACGTACACAGCTCGAGGCTCTGTGAAGACGTCTGTGTGGATGTGCATCATCAGGTCGCCTCCTGCTGTGTACTCCATAACAAAACACACATGCTCTGGAGTCTGGAAGCATGCAAACAGATTGACCAAGAAGGGATGGTGCGACAAGTTCACGACCTCAAAGATGCGCTTCTCGCACATTAGACTGCAGGAGGAAGGAGAGAAAAAGGTGGATATATAACAGGAAGTGTAGGGATGTGAAGGAGGAGGTGGAGAGGGTCGAGGGTAGGAGAAAAAAAAAACATTGGAGGGAAAAACAAGAGACATTTACACAGTTATATAGTGTTTATTTTTGTTCAATGAGACACCCACAATCATCCCACAGATGAACTGTAATCATGGTGATTCAAGGCACAGCAGCAGCACAGATTGTATACAGCATATATTATTGGAGCTCAAAGATCCAGACTAAAAAACAGCAACCAATCACACAAACACAGAAATACTCAGAGTAATAAACATCAACACACACCTTTCCACCTCATCTCGAGCTATGATGTCTCCTTTCTTCAGGGCTTTGATGGCGTACATCGTGCCTGTCTTCCTGTATTCTGATAACAACACCTGCAGACATACACATGCAGCAACAGCTCAGTTTGTATCACTCTTAAAAATGCACACAACAGAAGAACGGAGGCCTTCTAGATATGCATGTTTATCAGTTTAATGAGGAAGAGAAATGAAAGTGTTCAAGATATCACAAAAAGGACTGAAAAGCCTGATTTAAACCTGAAAGTTGAATTCCCTTTTCTTGTTGACATTAGTGTTGTTTAGAGCTTTTCAGTAAGTGCTTTTTTGAATGAACATAGTCAATATGTATGAAAGGGTTTTCTATTAGCTCCTGCCAATGTTTCTCTTTCTCAATACGTATGCATATTGGAAAGCTTCATGTCAAGTTAAAAATTCAAAAACAGAAAGTAAAGCGGACCATTTGCCAAACTTTACCTTTCCAAAGTGTCCCCTGCCCAACACAGCGATCAGCCTGAAGTCCTGGAGTGACAGAGGACCTTTCCTCTGCTTACTGGAGAGACGGAAACACACAGTCAGCAGGAACATTTAAAATGAGCGTGGGTAGAGTAACATTCTCATGCAAATTAGTAGTTCCTTTTTCACAGCCGACATGTTGACTTGTCATAGTAAGTAAAGCACAGGTGTTACTAATAACATCAACAATGGCTCTGTTCTACACAAGTGTCCCAGTAAGCCATGACAATGACTACATTTACATGCACACTAATTTTCCACTATTAGTCCTAATATGACAATATTCAGATTTTGATAGGGGTCATGTTAACAGCATATTTCTTGAGTTTATTCAGAATGTCCCATTTTCCGATTAAGACGCGAGATATGCCGATATTACTCAAGAACATTCTATGCAGCGCATCAATGTCTCAGTTGGGGTTTTTTAATCACCTCTTGTCCGTTTACGAAACAAAAGAAAAGCCCACATGTCTGGACAGAAGGAGAAACATGTCTTCTTTTAAACATTACGAAAGACTTTATTATCATTATCTAGACATTTTGGATATGAATGAACAAATGAAAGAGTGAGGCTGTGTTTGCCACCAGTAGAAACCGTTGGAAAATCTTTTGACGCAAAGAAGCAATGTGGCTCAAGCGGCTCCAGTTGTTCTACATTTACCACGGAAGCAACAGGACTGTCATTTAAGGAGAGAGGGAAATTCCTCTGAAGGATGTACAGTATGTCATGAACAGTTACCTTAATCGGAGTATGCACAGCTTAATGTACAGGGGACTATTAGTGGAATATTGATTTTCATTAGCCATGTAAACTACGTGATGTCTTTTTCTAAATAAGGGCGAAAAACTGAATACTTTGTTCCTGTGAACATAGTGTGACCGTAAACCAGCATGAATGAAGGATACCAGCACCCAAACCCAGCTAAAAGGACAGAGTTATGATAGTTGTATCAAATAAAATACAATGCAGTGTTTCTGTGCGTGTGTGTGTACCTGCTAACAGACGGGGTTCGGATAGGGCACTCAGGGGTGAGGTCTGGGGGGGAGAAGGGCTCGATGACTGGCAGTCGGTCCTGACAGGGGACATGCCAGGAAAGAGACACAAGGAAGAGACACAGAGAGACACACGATGGAAGACAGGAGACACAATTTCATGACAACAGTTTGGACGTGATACACAAACAGCCTTTCAATTCACATTTTGTCCCTGCTCTGGATTCTTAACCTGATATAGACACTGAAGTGCTCAAGAACAATCCGTTTACAAATCACCTGCTTTCTATATCTATAACTATATTAATGATATCTACAGTACTGTATAATGATCGATCAAGGCTCCCTTTTCAGTGTGAGCTTTTGGATTCAGAAAATTCCCAGACAACATAGATGTTGACATGAACAAAATTTAAAACTGGATGAAAATTGGTAATAACTCTGACATCTGGTGAACGTGTCATTATGAAACAGCCAAATACAGGAGCTGTTTGGAGCACATCTTAGGATTTCTTTCTTCTTCATTTTTACAATGTTCTCAGATGACATCTCATTTTTTGTTCGCTCTTGTTGGCAAAAATCTTGCTTCTAAATATAATCCAAGCTTGACCTTAATTGTATTTATTACGGCCTGGATTCTGGATTATTACATGAGTCACTGATCAAAGTGACAAAATGTCAATTGTTGTTTGACAGTTTCCTTGGGGTTTTAATTTCATGTTAAATAATCAATAATATAATTATTTCAATATGTTGATTCTGGCGGCCCCTGTGGACAAAAGCGATACTGTTTCCACCGCCTCGTTTTATTGATTTCAAAGGGAATCAGACAGAATCCGACCTGTTGGTAGACATTATAAAATAGCCAATCTTCTCTCGGATGGTCTAGTCTGCTTCTGAAGGTCATATAGAGGCATCAGTATGAAATTTAAACTCTTTCCTATCCAGTTAAAAACTCCTTGTAGTAAGTTTAAATAGAGTGATTCCCTTCCTCCCACAGCTAACAGACTGTATTTACTACAGTAGACCAAACCACACACACACCTCCCCCATTTCCCGGGCTTCCTCTCTTTCCGTCTGTCTCACCGGGGTGTGTGTGTCCATTTCTCTCTTGTAATCGCCTCTTATTGGAGAGTCACTGTCCAGACTCAACTTCTCCACTGAGACCTCCCTGAAAAATCCACACAGACACAAACAAACAGACCAACACAGTGATGCAGGGCAGACAAACGAACAGAGACAAACACAAAAGGGCTGTTAGACTGATGGGGCTGATAAAGCATCACATGCTTTACATTTTGCCAGGAAACACAAGGAAAAAGGTTCAAGGAATGCCGCTGAGTTTGATAGCTAAGTCTGAATGACCGCTATCAAACGCCACACGTAGATGCTGAGTGTGTGCATCTGCACTGTTTATTTGTGCTTGCTGTGTCTGAGTGTGTATGTTGCGTGTGTGTCTCACCCGGAGTTGAGTGTTAGGCTGTGTGCATTGGGACTGTAGGTTCCTGAATTGTTGACGGTGGGTATGGCGTTTCGAAGCAGCCTCACCCACGTCCCGATATCCACGTTCATCTGACGAGCGCGAAGGAATGCCTTGCCTTTAAAAACACAAACGCACACACATCTAGAGTCTCTAATGTGTCTCGTAGAGTAGATCACCATGAAATCTGCATTGATTTTAAAATATTCCTGACTTTCCCACTAATTAAGAACTCCGTCTTTAAACAAACATCTGTGTCCCTTCATGTGTTTCACTGTTTTTCCAGATTGTTATGGTAAAAAACCCAACACACAATAAAAATGTAGGCATGTAAATTATAGTTAAAATCATTTCCTGATCTTCACTGTCTGGAATACACTCTTGAAATTAAATTATATTCCAAAACTTACATAATCATCGGCCTAATTTCTTCTTCTCTACCCAGTTTAATATCTCTGTATTACATCTTGTTAAAGTACTTTCCCTCTTTGTTGAGATAAGTGCTGCATAAATAAAGTTGTCATCGTCATGAAGAAACAAGATCATGTATTCACCACTAGATGGTGCTGTGGCCTAAATTATAAACAGTAGTGTTTCTTCTTGTTCGTTTTCTCATTAAGATAAAGCCAGTTTCAGCACATCTGCTGTGCGTTCTTTTCACAAAGGTCATCTATGTAAACATTGCTAAGACTGCAGAGTAGAAAAACTATCATTTCCGAGATCTGCATATTTTTCTGTGTTTCCTCTCTGCTCTGTCTCTTCCTCACCTTGCTGCTTAGAAAAGACCTTCTTCTGCCTCTGGAGGCGAGGAACTCTCTCAATGACCGGGTTGAAGAAGGTCACCTGGAAAACACACATAACAAATGAAACTACACACACACATTTTATTTTCAGACATCACACTCAGACGATTGAACCTTTCAAGTATGATATATCAAAGCAGTGTTTTTCAGCACAGGTGCGAGTGACAGTTTTTGTGTGTGTGTGTGTGTGTGTGTGTGTGTGTGTGGGCAGGTGTACATGCATATTTGAATATCTTTGTGTGTATTTATAGCACTTGTATAGATGGGTGTCATGTGTGACATCTGTGATTCAACCTTTGTGTGTCGCTGTCCCTTTTCCCATATTTTGTTACTGCGTGTGTCAAGATTACATCAAGGTTTGTGTGTGTGTGTGTGTGTCTGTGTGTATGTGTCTGTACCTCCGCCAGCAACAGGCCCTGAGGCTCCATCTCCAGCTGAACTCTGTGTTTCTGGTTGTCCAGGAACTCCTCCAGCTTCACATACTTCAAAGCGCACAACGAGCGGTAGTCTTTCCAGTAAACAGCAATCTCCATCTCCCTCGACTAAAACACACACACACACACACACACACACACACACACACACACACACACACACAGACACACAGACACACAGACACACAGACACACAGACACACAATGGTGGTCAAACAGAGAAAAGCATTTTTATTTCCCTAAAAAGATACTTAAATGTGCTCTGTGGTGTGTTTTTGTGTGTGTTTATGTACTGACCCTTTCCAGCTCAACAGTGAAGGTCTGGTCCCAAGCCTGTTCTCCCACAGTCCTCCAAGCTGTCTGACCCACCACTGTGTTATCCAGCTTCAGCACGGTACTCACCTCAGCTGCACACACACACACACACACACACACACACACACACACACACACACACACACATATGCACACATCAGCAAATTATATGTCCTCCATAGGTGACTTTCCTATATAGTACCTGGCACTTTATCCCTGACCACTACAGAAATGAAAGCTGCTATACGCTCATGCTACAATAATACAATTTACGTATTGATTAATGATTGTCATTAATTTCCTTGGAGACACTTCCGAAAGTGCAAGACCTAAAAAAAAGCTGGTTGTGAGCTGCCTACTCAGGGTTTTGAGGCAATTCAGCTAAATGTGCTGATGTTGCTGTGCCACTGTGTGTGAGCACTGACTTACAGTACCTAACCACACCAACCTAAAGTGACACTGACAGGAAGTTACTTCATAGAGGTCTGTTATATTGCTCACTGATAGTGACAATGAGTGACAAAAACTATTTGTACTGAAAAAACAACAACATATAAATCATCTTAAACCGAATGAAGCAGATAAACGAGCACAATATTAAGTTTTTGTTTATTTATAAAGCATTAGAACCACCCCCCCACACACACACTCACACTTAACTTACAGGACAGCTCGTCGGTCTTGCTAGGCGTCTTCCCACTGACTGAGCCGCTCCGTCCGTACAGTCCTTTGCTGCCCCTCATGAAGGACCTGGTGTCTCCGGGGCTGTAGCAGGGCAGCATGACAGCTGTTCCTTTATTGCGACCTGGGACCACCTCCAACAACCCCACGCAGCCAAAGAGCTGCACCTGCAAGGTACCTGAAGAGAGGCCAGATAAATAAATCTAAAAGACATAAAAACACTGAGCACAAAAATATATATGCAGTTTCTGATTTACAAAGATTATGTTCACTTGCAAACGCCTAATGCCCTCTTCCACAAGCAGCCATAATTGGTTGGACATAAACAGCATCATTGGCCAAAAGCCATTATAATTCCTATTCTATATATATTTAATTTAATATACACATATTCAGGAATAACACTTGTAAAAGGTCTCCAAAAGTCCTTGGTCTCACTTCCTCTGTCTGCAACATGAACGTGTCGGCCTCAGTTAAGATTAAGTGTCTTTGTACATGCACACGTGTGTGAATAGATGAACAGAATCAATCAAAGGGGTAAATGTGGGTGCAGAACACACTTCAACACAGAAAAACCTCATTGCTACAATAAAGACCCAAAATAGTAGGATTTTTAAAATTTGATATATTGAAATGATGTGTTGACTACTTCAGTGTTCGTCACTACAATTTATTAACAGTGTGTTCAATACCAACGCTACGAAAGAAATGTTATGCAAACTCACTGTATGAATAAACCACTGTGTAGAACAAATTAATTTTACTTTTGTTAATGGAAAGGTCTCTGTGTTTATTCAAATGGTCTCATTTCAAACAGCCAGAGAGAAAACCTCATCCTCCTACCTCAATTAATCAGATGGCTCCACACAGACACTAACTAGAGGGTGCAGTGACAGTAGTTTCCACAGTGTCTTAAATGTTTTACTATAAGCTCTTGTGCTCATCTAAACCGTGGAACTCTCGCTTTACATTTTGTGAAAAATATGTTATTGTGTCTGTTGTGTAGATTCATCTTACCAATGTGCAGTTTGGATGTTACTATATAGAGGCACCAGTATTAAACTGAGATGGTTTCATAACCAGTTAAAAACTCCTTGCAAAAGGTTTAACTTTGGCCTGAATTGCTTTGTTTGGTATTACATACCAGTGAGAGGTGATGGTTTGTTGAGGGTGCTGTATTGGTTGTGGAGGTAGGGGGCGCCATGGCGAGAGCTAAAGGCAGGGGAGGAGGCCAGGACCAGCTCCTCTTTGATGACGCTGGCCTTGGGATGGTCCTCTGGCAGCTCTGCCAGACGCTGGTCCAGAGAGTCTCTCAGTAGGTCCAACCGCTGAGACGCCTCGCTCAGACGAGACTGCGCCTACATCGACACAGAACGCACATTTACACATCCACTGGGTGACAGCTTTTATTGTTAGGTGTTAGGTGGACAATCCATCCCTCACATGAGTCACATTTTCACAGTAACAACAGAAACGGCCACAATATACAGCATATTTGCTTTTAATCCTTTACATTTGAATCAGTTTTGAATATTTTGCTAAAAAATGGCTGAAACACAACTATATAAAGTTGATATGAGAGTTATGTGAGTTTAAGAATCTCAACACATGATGAAGGAACCAGTGAGTCACTAGTACTGATGAAAAACCCTCCCAACAGCACCCGAGATATGTTGAGTAATTGAAGCTGCTCTGTGGATCTGACTTGGGAGAAAATTGCTTTGTGACCTTACATTTTTACAGTTGTATCTTCTGTGTATGTAGGATCCATTAAGAGAAAGCTTATCACATTCAGACAACTTATGATGTCATGATGCTGTAAAAACTGTGTGTTAATGTGTGTGTCCACTCTAACCTCAGAAAGAGCTTTCTTGTCCTGGACCTTGCTGGCCCCCAGGAGCCGGAGCACATTTTTGGCCCCCTCAGCAACAGCATGTTCTACTCTGTAGTGATGCCTCAGCTCTTCAATACGTAGCTCCATCCCGCAGAGGTCCTGGTTACCTGCAGCATTGGGATGGACAAATCACATTTTACACAAAGCAACTGAGGCTGAAATACCAAAGGATGCTGCTTTAATAACACCTGCACCCTTTACTTCAGTTATATTCTGTAGTTTGAGCTCGGCAGGTACAAGTTGACACTTCAGTCTTTTGTTTTGGCAACAGTGCATTATAGGGAACTCCCCTGGGCATACTAAGTTAGGTTAATGCCTTAATGCATGTCATGCATTACACAAGAGCCAGACAAAGAAAACATCAGCAGTGCCTGCAGGGTGGTAAGCAGTCTCTGAGTGTTCCCCAGTACACAGCATTATTTCCAAATGGCTTTCTCATTCCCATCTTTAAAAGTAAACAGAGCCAACAAAACCCTCTCTTGTCCAATGTTTTCCGTTTTGTGATCAATTTGTTTTATTAAGATTTAAATTTATTATACTGGCATTAAGTTACAAGATTGTTAAGCTACAGAGAAAACAAACAAGTGATATCTCAAATACTTAAATAAGATTTCATAGGACTTTATATTACTAACAGCTTGTTGTCCAATATTCCCTGTTGCTACCGCTAATCAGATAGATGACTGGAATGGAAAATTTATGATGGAATAATAATATTATAACATGAACCTCTTGCTAATGGAAAAACTTATAATAAATCATAACAACATGCTTTGGGAGGAGAGGTCTGTGCAAGAATTGCATGAACAACTTTAAGACAAATCATATACAGACAACAAAAAGAGCTGAAACTGAACAATTTTATTATTTGACATAACTTTCACGTCTAGGTGTACTTTAATGTTTCCAGTCAAGGCCGCTTCAAAATGCTACCAATGCCACTGATAAAACGCTGACAACTGCTTATTTCACCCCTTAAATGGAAAGACCTTCTAGCGGTAGTGTTGCACCTCATTTTCTGCTTTAATCTAGCTATCAGTCAAAAGGTGAAAACATACTCAAGTTCGTTCACTTACAAAAACAGACATGGGGTCAACCTCAGAGTAGCACCCGTGAAGCAAAATTGCAGCTAAGTGCTGAGCTTAATGGCTCAGTAGCAGCCTCTCACAGTGTGCAATGAAGGACAAGGATGAACAAAGGAGCGCACAGATAATGGAAGAGGAGAGGAGGCGTGAGATAAGGAAAAGGACAATAGGATAAACAGCATTCAAAGGGGGGGCATTTGACTTTCAAATGCCAGGTTAGAGGAAAGGAAGGACAAAAGGACACAGAGGAGTGATTAAAAATGATTTTTATTACTTATAAGTCATTAAACACTGCATGAGACAGGAGGAGAAAGAAAGGAAAAGAGGGAGCTAGGGGTGGAAATGGATGTGGATGCTTTTATCTCCTAATAAGGTGTTCTGCCTGGAGCCCAGACCCTTCTAGATGACCTCTCCACCGGGTGTGGTGCCTGGAGACTGTCTGTGTACACTATACACACAACCCCTGTGTGTGTTGTGTGTGTGTGTGTGTGTGTGTGTGTGTGTGTGTGTGTGTGTGTGTGTGTGTGTGTGTGTGTGTGTGTGTGTGTTTTAAAGGAGAGAGACAGAATAACCAAGAAAGATCCAGTGACTTTGAGGGACACCAGGACAAAAGAAGACAATGTTGAAGTTAATAAGATACTGAGGTTACCATTGCAGGCAATTAACCTTCTAGAAAGTGTAGAAAGGCATAATATTGGTAATATTGTGTACTGGTTCAGTTAGGTAAAGAGAACTCCAGATTTAGCAGTATGTCATCGTAATCGGCCGATAAAGACTTAAAAATCAAAAATCAGCAATTTCTTCCAATATGACTGATAATATGACGCTTGAATTATACCGTTAACTAGGCTGAATGCTGATGCTGTGTCACCCAGACTTGGGGTGCGTGAGGCTAAGATGATGTCTGTGAGCATAAAAGAGGCGCAAACATGTCTGTGGTGTGGAGGTCTTTTTAAAGTTTCTGAAACGGATAGCAAAGTTGCTCTTTTCAATGATTGCTCAGCGTCGGTCTTTCCTTCCGCACTCCAAATTTAATTGCCCATCTTAAACAGCTGTCATCTAGATCATTACGGCAAACCTGTCAGCAGCCTCTTCTGCTGCAGTCTTTAAACATAGCCAAATAATATGGCCACAACCACCCAGCCCACCGCCTGTGAAATAGGTCACATCTTCCCCAGTTGTTGTCAGGATTGTCTCAGGGAGAGCTGCTTGCCACATCTGCTTGTGGGCCATCACAATAAGAGTAGCCATAATAATATGTTAATATGTTCCAACACAGGAGAGACTTCATGTTCTCTGCAATTAAGTTGAAAAAAAAAGGCAATAGGCCAAAATGAGCTGGAAAATATCGGCATATCAGATACTGTCTTACTACAACCTTTTTTTCACATATGCAGTAGGACTCCCTACAACCTGTAAGCACACTTTGATGGGTAAAATATGTGAAGTAAAAACACTGCTGCTGGTCATTAAGATCTATAACACTATTTTTATCACAGTACAGCAGTGGAAGGAACTTAACATCAATAAAACTCCAGTAGGTTTTCCATATTGAGGACACAGAGAGAGTAAGTGCAGCCCTTAAAAGGCCCTTAAATAATCCTTCCAAATGGCCATTAACTTCTTTGCCTTAAAAGACACCCACTTTCTTAATGGCCATCAGCTGCCTCAGTCCGACATAAGCAGAAGGGAATAGATGGCTCCACAGGGAATACACCATCTTCATAATCTGGTTGTTTTTTGTTTTTTTAACTTCTACCCCCTCCCACTGCTCTCTCCCTGCTCCCCTGCTGCATTTTACCAAACCATCTACCTCTCATGACTGTAATCAATCAGGCTGTTTTCCCAGCAGAGGAGCAACAACGGTCCACAGCACTCTCCGCCCTACAGAGACTCATTCACCTGCCCTGAAATGGCATTGATCTCTCTGCTACAACATATAATAATAGTGAGTGTGCGTCACAAAGAAGAGAAAGTTTGTCGTTTTTATCTTGAAGAGCATTACCCGACTACTGCACATTTAATACATGCAATCATCTGCCCAGACAATGATTTTGTTCTGCTTCTACACACAGCACATTAATATTGGTTGTGTGTGTGTGTGTGTTAAAGAGACTTTTCATCTGCCGGTGCTTTTGTTGGAGGGGTTTTTTTTTTGTGCATCTGTGTGAATTTGATTGTGGTAATGTGCCAGGTGGGCCATTTCATAGGCTTTGTATCATAGACTCACAAATAATTACACACACACACACACACACACACACACACACACACACACACACACACACACACACACACACACACACACACACACACACACACACACACACACACACACACACACACACACACACACACACACACACACACACACACACACACACACACACTCCACTGAGTATCAATCCTCTCCGTCCTCTTCATCTTCTTCCCCACAAAACTAAGGCGGAGAGATGTGAAAACAGTGAGCCAGCTTTTTATTGATCTGTTTGTGCTACTGTGCGTCTGCTGTCTGCAGCTGCTGCTCGGGGCAGACTGTATAACATGCAGAGAAATAGAAAGCAAGACTGCAGATCTCATGAAGACAGAGAGATGAAAAAAGATGCCAGTGCCAGATGACCACTGTCATGAAGCACTTTCCTCTGACAGGTGAACTAAAAATGCTCAAGCTAGGAATAATTACAGCATGTTGGTCGAAATTATTAACGTGCATTTTTTGTAGATACATGTCATTTTATGTCCATTGCATGGTTTTATGTTCAATATATAGTGTATATAGTATTTAGTATTTAGACAGTGTACAGGGCTTTTTTTCTATGTTATGAGATGTTTACTTTGGCTAACTGCATCTGACACTACTTTTAGAGCGACCTAGAGAGCTCTAACTTTTCACAGTGCAACAAAATATTGGACATTAGACCAAATAATGTAAACACTTAAATGTTATCATTTCCAAAATTTACCAGCCACCAAGGTTAGGAAAGCATTTTGATTTCTGAGCAAAAACCTATTAGAACATGGAAGTTGTTTGTTCACAACCACGATGACCATGAAGTGTGTAGCATTGCTGAGTCCACATTATAACATAAGTACTTTATATTCACTCATTAGCCAGCCAATCAGACTTACCCTGAGTGTCATCATTGTGCTCGGTGGCCTGCACAGCCTTGCGGATTTGCATGCGGATTATGTCAATTTTGGTCTTACTGTCCTGCAGCATCTGCTGGGCCGTCTGCAGCATCTTCTTATCCTGATTGGTGCAGAGACAAGGCAAGGAGCAAATCACAACACAGGAAGCAGGAAGATACATATCACAATACCAGTGGAGCAACAAAGAGGAATCCTTAATCTTTTTTTCCTTTATGTTGATTGATGATAGATTTGTATTTTACGATGTTTAAGCAATGAAACAGAGAAGGAAGTGGAGGTATGAGAGCAAGGTCGACTGGCAAGGTGAAACCTGCAACATAAAAAAGGGGGGAGGGGGTTTAAAGTAATCAAGTGATGAGGTGTGTGTATATAAGGGAATGCGTGTCTCAGGTCCTACACATTTGGAGATCATCATCTGAGTCAGCAGATTGCAAGGATTATGAAGGTGCATACAGACACACGCTGTCAGTTATAAAGCAGCTGGGGGAGGGGTATAATGTGTACCATACCCTACAAAATCCTTTCTACAACGCCCTTGTGTTTATTATGTGAATGTTTGACTGTATTTATACACTTCTGAATTTTTGTTGGTGTTCAGGAATAGTTGAGGATCACATTATCTGAATGTATGTGTGCTGTCAATCTAACCACTCAACATTGTACTGTTGAGCCGTGTGAGTGTGTGTGTGTGAGAGTGTGTGTGTGTGTGTGTGTGTGTGTGAGTGTGAGTGTGTGAGTGTGAGTGTGTGTGTGTGTGTGTGTGTGTGTGTGTGTGTGTGTGTGTGTGTGTGGATTAAAGTCTTGTACCTTTGTGGATCCATTGGAGTAGACAGGGATCATGTTTTCAACTCCCTGTTTGACTTTGAGTTCGATGTTGAGCTGTCTCTCCAGGGCAGCAATACGTTCCTTGTGGGCTGACGTCCGACTCTCTGCCCCAGGAGACTGAGGACACTCATCTGTGGAGAGAAGGAAAAGGTTGGAGAGGATATAAAAAGGAACAAGACGGGGATTCACATGGTGTGGCCTAAAGTAAAAATACTCTATGGGAAATTTAATGTCAAGTAATATTGTTGAATTTCTGCAGCAGCATGTATGGGGTTGATATCCTGGATTATGGGAACATTTCTGATGACACTGTTGTCCAAATGATTAGAGATCCACCACAGCATTTACCAGCTGGCAACAGACTTTGGCTTCCCCAAACCGTGTCCCACTCAGATACAGCAGGAAAGGACAAATCAGCAGGAAATATTTTTTCCACCACTCAGACGTCATTTAACAAGAATGTGTTAGAAAGGAATTAAATTCACCATAAAGGAAGTTTATAATGTATACAGTGAAATGTGTGTATGCTTTATATCTGCCATGATTTCAAACATTATATAAACTCCATACTCAAGCAGAGAGTGTAAGTGTAATTTATCTACAAATCTGTATCTGAAAACACCAAAATACCTGAACACATTCATTGTTGAAATCAATGCATCAGGAGATTTGTTGTTGACATACTAAAACTGGCTTTCAAATAATAGCTTGTTCGGTCACTGTGAATAAGAATATGATATAATGATAAACTTTGCAGTAGTTAAATTAAGTCCATTCTTGGTTACATCAGGGACTACTTTTCAAGGAGCTAAAAGGTTCCTTGTTGTTTGTGTTTCCATCCAGTCTAAAGACCCGCGAAGGTTCAGCTAATTAGTCCGCTGAATTATGAACGACAGCTGTTATTACACGTCATTTTTGTGCATGACTATACAACAACAAACAATGTCATACGTCCATCTGTTGTATGCTTTCTTCTGTAAATCCATGTTGATGAGTAAATCCATGTTGATGAGTCCATCCATGTTGATGCAGGGGGGTAAAATAATGTACCCTGAACTTAATTTAGACCCTAGTCCTCCAAAGGTTCCGAGTCCCTGGGGAAAGCTCCCATGGAAACGTGGCTAAAGGAAGCAAAGGTCAAGGTAGAACAACAGGGGTGATGGTTTTTCGCATGCATACCTTTATTCTCCTCTCCTCCCTTCACCACAATGTGAGCGTCCAGTTCTTGCAACTGAGCATGTAGATTGTCCAGTCTACGGTTAGAAGACCGCAACTGGCTGTCCACCTGTAAACAAGAACAAATACAGTAGGTTTTGTGTGAAAACAGCAGTAAATTATAAAACTTGGACAACATATGGACATCGACACACACAAGAATGTCATGGGAATAAGTTAAACCAGTTCTACACAACATTTAATGCTCAATATTGTACTTTATATAACAGTAAATCAGTTATAATGTGTGCTATTTTGATATGGACTTCCGTCCTTAATCTTGATGATGCACATGATGCCGACGTAATGCAGGCAAGCAGTCTCATACCATACCAGTCAGACTAAATAAAACAGAACTGCCAATATAATGATCTCTAGTCATGCTCCTTCAATGTTCAGTGAGCTGTTGCTTCCATCTTAAAATTTCACTTTCCAGATTGCAGGAAGTGTTCAGTAAATTCTTCTTAGCGACAATAATTCCTTTACAAAATTAAAGTAAATTGAACACATTTTATAGAGATGCAGTTGTGCCCATGTTAACAGGAAAAATGTGAGTTGCAAAGTGAGCTGTCACTCATGTTCCTTTTCTGGAAAATAAATCAACATTCATCCCACCAAAAACTAGTACACCATAAACTCGAGTATTGCTGCTCACTTCCAACAACTGGTGCCAAGCAGCTGTACTGGGAAGCTCCAGGAAGTAAATGTGTGAGCGTGTGTGGCATTCCTGCCCTGCTTCACAATGTGGAAATGTGTGCTCAGTGAGCCTACTACTGAGTAAATAAAGGTCAAGACGTTGGTCACATGAGGCTTTAAAAAAGTGCCAGATCCTTCAGAAAGTCCCAGCAGGATAAGAACTTAACATACCAGCAAATCTACCCAGTTCCGGTGAACTGGTATGTGACTGAATCACCAGTCACTGTTCCAGACAGCAGTCATTAAACTGGTTTCCTGGGGTGGTGGCGAAGTAAAATTCATACTTTTCAACTTAAAAGTCAGAGCGCTTCCATGACCTCATCAATGGAAGATGCTTTCTCATAATCAGCATATACAAGTGTAAGTTTTCCAATCATTTACCAGCTGGAAACCTGATTAAAGGTTTTATTCCACAAAAAATAAAAAATGACAAGCAAAACAGCTGAGGAGTTTTGGTGGATGAAGGCTTTTAAAAGGATCTAAGGAGAACTGGTAGCTTACCTGCTGAGCGTTTCTCTTGTCAGTCGTCGCCCTGCGTAGGTTCTCAGCTCCCTCCTTGATTTTCAGCTCCTTACGAATCTCTCTGCGGATCCTTTCACGCTGCTCGTCCAGAAGCTGCTGCACACTGGAGTCGGAGAAATCCGAGTTCTGGTCCAGACCGAGCTGCTCCAGAACCGACAGCCCATCTGGGTCACTCTGGACAGATGAACGGAGAGGGAGGGTCGGAAAGAAAAAAAACAAAAACAAGTAAGGCAATGTGGTTGTGAATAAAATAAAATAAAATCTTTGTCATGACAATACAATGCTTAATTTACAACACAGTCAGCCTGGAGAGAGGAGGCGTTGAGAGTGAGGTAGACAGAAGAGGAAGAGATGATGAGCTGGATAAGGCAGTAATGGGAGGAAAGAGATAGATAAGGAGAGATGATAGTGGGTGGGTAGAGGGGGAAAAAAACGGCAAAGTTGAGTAAAAATGAAAATGCTAGAAAAGGAAGCCGGAGGATGGGAAAGAGATGAAGGGGGAGCAGTAAGGAATGACAAAAATCTTGTTTCAGCCATTGTTTATAATATTTCAAAACAACTCTCCGATGTCCAACCTGCTTACAAGAAGAGCTTTAGGGTTACTACACTTCCATTAGAAATGCCATTTTCAGGATAATCTGCCTGCCAAATTGGCTAAAAATCTACACTATACACAAACATCAAAGTGAACTACAAATCTGTCCCATGACCTGTGCTAGCCATTGTCCTCTTTCAGCCTTTTCTCATGAACCCGTCCTTCTCTACTGGGTGAGAAATGCCACAAACATTAGTACGCTTTTTAACACCAGTAAACAACTGAGCTCCACTCCTGCTTAAGTTTCCACTCATTTCCTGTGTCTTTTTCAAAAATCACTTCTAGCAGAGCTACAACAGAGTGAGATCTGGAGACTCAACAAGCCAAACACACAATCAGGAACACAGCAGGAGAGCGAGCGTCAATCACTAGAAATCACAGCCACTATCACAAGAACACACAAATCAAACAAACAAGCCAACAACGCTTCACCTCTGAGCTGTCCTCATCCTCCTCATCACCATGCCAACACATAGTTCGCTCAGATGTGATGACCCAAAGAAACACGAGGAACAGAAATCTTCGGTACACTCCCGAGCTCAGCCAAACAGTTAATGCCACACCGAGAGCAAAATGGGTTTGGGGCGAAAATAAACGATAAAAAGAGATAAAGAGAGGGAGAGTTAAGTGAGGGAGGGAGGGGGAACGCCTCCAAAAGAGGATATCCGTCCCGACACCAAGCTGCTCAGGCCTTTCCTGTTTCCTCTGCGATTTTGCTGCTGTCAGTGGAGAGCGAGACAGAGAAAAGAGGGACAGAGACTCTATACATCAAGAACACACGCGCCTTCTCAAAGTTTTTGTAATTCACTCCTGGATCTGTGGCAGTAAACCTTTATGATGTCAACTCTTCCTCAGCTGCTTATGTGCTAATCAAATCTGGCTTGAAGTAATTCGTAACAGCTTTTTTTTTCGTTTTTGCTCTCACTTGGATCGGTGATTTAATCTTGAGGGTGGAAAACCAGGGAAGGATGCGTTTTCTAAGTATTGGATCAAGGCCAGGGAGTAAGATTGGGACACTTTTCTGCTGCCTGCTTGACCTCTTATTTCCTTTGGGTTCCACATCTACAAACCCCCTACTGGTGATTCCCCTTCCCCTGTAGAAATACGAGATAAGGTCAGAGCCTCATCTGAAATTATGATAACATCTCCATGTAAGCAGCAGTGCGTGGAGTTAGCGCCCTAAAGCTAGCCTCCAACAATATCCTCTAAACTAGCAAAGGAGAATTTGGCTTTTACACTGCACAGTAACAGTAATCTCACAGGGGCATTGCACGTCACACATCAAATATTGGTGGCAATCTGGGTTTTAAGGTATGTGAGATTAATGAATTAATCTGCTGCTGTCTATTTTTTAACTTCACTTTCTAAACAGTGTTTATTAGGGGTGGGATTGAATTTCTGAAGATTGCTTTGACAGTCAAACTTTTATGCCTGGGAAACTGGGTTATTGCAAAGAAAAGGATGCAGAATAGTTTTGACAGTGTGACCACTGACAGGTTTTGAGCTCTGGGAAAATAGTCTAACCTTGCAAGGTAGCTGAACTCACAAGATCTTAAAATCATCAGATCACAACACAAACAAACCATCTGCACACTTAAAAATAGTCCGGTTTAGTGGTAACGTATATGGGGTTTTTTGTCATAGCAGGGGAATTTGAGTGCACAATTTTAATTTTGTGGTCATTTTGTGGTTTGTTAGTCTTTCCACATGAAGCTGACTCATCTCTTTGCACTCCTCAGTAGATCTGTTATACCTAGATAAGAAAAGGAAGGTGACACCAGCCAAAGACGAGGAGTTTTACTTCCTGTAATCTGAAAACAGGTTCTGTGAATTTAGAGTTAGCAGACTTGCACAATTTACTGACTATAAACAGGCACCGATACTGTAAGTCTATGGCAGATATTACTCTATAATAAAGCTTTACAACGAATTATGGATAATCATTCTTTACTAGCTGTGACGAAACCTGATACATAATGCATTTAATTTAGCATGTGTGTTGTAGTTCAACTGCTTGCTCCTGGTGGGAACTGTCGGGTCTCAGTAAATAATTTTAAGGAGTACGGTCTAGACCAGTGTCCCGAGATAACTTTTTTTTGATTTGGCGCTATACAAATAAAATTCAATTGAATTGAAATTGCAGCTGAAAACAGTCAATTTACTGTCTCACAAGTCTGCTAGCCTTTCAAATAACCTGATATGGAAAAAGTGCTATGAATTTTCTAGGACGTATGGCTGGTACCTGGGGAGGTAGTGACTCTGGTGGAAGAGCTCATGATGCATGTTGGGAAAAGTCACTTTGGACAATGATGTGTTATCATCAAATTGTTCATTCTATTAATAAAAGACATAAGATATTTATGTTTATTTTATTTTTATTAAACTCATGACTTTCATTTAGAATCAAATTTGTAAACCAAAATTAATTCCAAATATTAATCAAATATTGTATGTAACTGAGGCCTTCATCCTCATTACTTATTGCCTCGAAATGTTTCTTTACAGATCTACTGCTGGCTGAAAATATTCAAAATGCTGACATACTCTAAAAGGATACCAACAAATAATGATAACAATTAGAGTTGTTCCGATATTCCTCCGATCCGAGACCACAGAGGATAATGTATTACCCCCCGAAACAGGACCCTGCTACTTCCCAGCAATGTCCCATATTTCTCCCTAGGATAGAGAAGTAATGACCCGTCCTATCTTGACAAAGGCTTTAACCTGAGTCAGACCATATCACAATGATAGCAATCATACAGGCACAGTTGTATACGCTTGTTAAAAAAAGGATCAACCAAAGTTCAGCTACCAGAATTGATATCTGGAAGGAAAAAATGGTACCGTCACATCTCACAATACTCACAAAGTTTATACCTTCAGCCATCATTGTGAGGCACAACCCTCAATATCTTTGAGAATCTTTGAAGAAGAGCTTCAGCAGAGTCTCTTGTCTGTATGAGACTCAAAGATGAACCTTTCATGGTGGTTGTCAATGTGATTGACTGCTTGTTTTTTGGTCTTAGATGCCCGGAGGCTGTGACCCCCCTCTCGATCCATATACAAGAGCAACAGCCAGATGAAGAGGAGGAGAAGGCTTACTGCGACCAAGATTTCTCTTTAATACGACAGTTAATCCTCCCTGTCTCCATCCACCATCTCCACCTCCCTGTGTAAAGTGTACATGTGATCCACGCCTGCCACTCTAAGAAACGCTGATGAAATGTTTGCTTACGCTTACAGCACCGCTTGCAGTGGGAGTAACCGCTGCTGGTTAAAAGGGGTTGGAGTGTTTCAGTATAACTGTGGATTGTTGTGTGTCTGCTGAGCTGTAGCCTTGCTGCCAAGTGATTGAGTGTCAGATAGTAAACTGATTTTGTAACACAAATGAAAAGGAGGTTGTTTGAGTTCTTGCTCTCCACTGACACCCTCTTATCCATATCACCATTCTGACTTTAAGCAGAGATCCAAAGGTAATGCCCCACAAGATAAAGAGTATTTACCAATAAGATACTTTCTTTACTATTCTTAAATGTACAGGCTATGTCAGGTGTTCAGTGTTGCCAGACTGTGTGACTATTTATTTGACTGGGCAGGTAAAACTCAGGTTGGGCGGCTTATGATCATTTGGGTAACTTATTAGCATTATGGCTCTCAATGTCTGACTGTTGGCCGATTACTTTGAATGAAATGTCCTGACAACTATTGAAGGGATTCATTTGCCATGACATTTTTTGCAGATATTCATGTTTTTAAGAGGATTAATCCTCCTGACTTTGGTGATCCCCTGATTATTCTTCTGTCGCCACCAAAATTTAAATTCCATTTTAGTTATTTACTTTAGTTCTGCAGGTATTTAGTCATAAACCTCAAATCATAATGATATTCTCATCAGCCTGAGCTGTTTATTGGTCATTAGCAAATGTTAGCATGCTTCCACACTAACACAACAAACATGGTAAACACTACACTTGCCTAGCAACAGCATGTTGGCATTGTTATTGTGAGCATGGTGACATTAGGATTTATCTCGAAGCATTGCTCACACACAGCCTCAGAGCCACAAAGACGGCTGTAGACATTTAATCTTGTGGTAATATTTAGGTGCTATCTTTGATTAAAAGCTATATGCTACATTCCCATGAATATACCCTTCCTCTCCTCTAGTTAGAATATATTCAGATTGTCAGGGACACTGTGACTATGTAGTCTTTTGCAAATTTAAACAGAAAAACAGATTGACAGTACAGTTCAGTAGGTTCAACACAGTGACAGAAAAAGTCCTTTTAGTTCGTTACAATGATGCTGTCACTATGTTTTTGAATTATACCCAGTTCCTAAGTCATAACCTTGATATAAAAGCACATTTAATATATTTTTTAAAATCCATTGAAGCTTTGATAGGGCTATGTGGCAACAGTACTTTAATGCACTATTACCTCTACAAAACCTTCCACCTAGCTTTTAAGATAAACCATACTTTTACAGAGAAATGTATCAGTAATTACAATCATCCCTGACACAGACTCTGAAGCTGTAACATCAGGTCCTCTCTGGTCCAAACAAAGCAGCTGGT